GAATAGACGCAGCTTCCTACCATTATAAACTGCAACCAACATTTAAAATCAAGTGGAAAGCCTTCCATTCAAAGACATTGGTGAAAGACCACAGTTCAAGTTTAACACCCAGAACAGAAACTGAAGGACAAAACTACAATTTAGACATCTTCACGTCAGTCATCAGGAAAAAATGGGACACATTAAGCAATATCTCTGAGGAAACCTGAGTGGAAGAACACTGCAACTCTGTGAAAGCAACGTGGAAGAAAACCTGCATAACCGTATTAGGAAGGAAGAAGAAACAAGACAGGATAAGGAATGGATCCCCACGGACACATGCAAGCTGAGAGAGAAGGGAGAGGAAGATGGTGATGGTGAAGCCGAAAGTGAACAACTGCAGTCCAGTCCAGTCCAGGCATGATCAACAAAAAGAGGAACTGAACACAACCTATAAAACACTACACTCGACAAAGAAGTGAATACTGAACGGAAAAACAAAACACACTTCCAACTGAAGCAGAATTGGCTCCAGATGGTAGAGACCTAACAACGTCGCATCAAACAACCAGGTTACTATCTGGCAAGAGATCAACACAGATGAAACCAATAAAAGATAGTGAAGGAAACTTAGTTAGAAAGAGGAGAAACAAAGAAAACGATGGGTTGGTCACTTCAAAAAGCTCTTAAGTCGACCACCACCTGCAACTAGTCCAGAAATACCAACACCACATCAGCCACAGAAGTATCAGTGAACAAAAACACTCCGACAAAAGCCGGGGTCGTGAACGCCACAAAGTTGTAGACTACCGGGAAAGCAGCAGAACTAGATGGAATTCATCCAGAAACACTGAAAAAATACACAGATACATCAACGGACATGCTCACACCACTACTGCTGAAGGTTTGCAAGGAAGGAAGGAAAGGTATCTGTCGAGTGGAAGAAGGCCCACCTTGTCAAACTCCCAAACAAGGGTGACCTAAGTCTTTGCAAAATCTGGCGCGCAATCATGCTCCTTCCCTGACAACCTCAAGCAAAATATTAAGCCACGTCTTCCTGGAGACAATTAAAACATCCTCTGCATTCAACATTATCACCGGAACAGTCTCCCTGGATAGCTGGATAGCCTGGCTTCAGCAAAAACAAATCATATGCCGATCAAATTTTAACGCTACACTACGCATCATCATACAGTCGTCATCACAGTCAACTCAACCTCAACCTCAACCTCAACTTCACCAACTCTGAAAATAACTCCAATAGCCTCGACCAACAAGTAATTTGACAGGCAGCTCCTTCAACACTACGGTTTCAGTATCACAAACCTCTATCAACCACCTCACTCAACACCTATATGACGACGCTACATCCCAACTGATTCACAACGGAAACCTCACTGACGCATTTCAAGTGAAGATAGGAGTAAGACAAGGTTCCCACCTACTATCACCGATCATCTTCCTGTTTGTGGTCGACTGGACTAAATCATGCAACAAACTGTGAGGAGTGCGAGAACAGGGCATACACTGTTTGACCAATGAAAAGACCCCAGAAGAAGAAGAAGAAGAAGAAGAAGAAGAAGAAGAAGAAGAAGATCTGGATTTCGCCACCAATGATGATGATGATGATGATTTATGTCTAATATCTTGTCACACAAGCTCGAAGACCTACAGGCGAAAACCAACAAGTTGACAGAAGAGGCAGGGCAACCAAGACCTGACTTCCTTCAGGTGAACGTACAAAAGACAGAGGTAGAGGTGATGAAGATACCCAATCATCATCATCATCAACAACAACAACAAGCACCAATCATCATCAACAGGAGAAATCTAAAGGAACTTGTCTCTTCCACCTACCTACCTACCTACCTACTTACCTACCTAGGTAGCATCGTTTCAACTACAGGCAGCACAGGCACACCTGAGGACGTCAAAGCCACGATCGGAAAGACACCAATACAGGCATTCCTGCATTAATCTGAAATCAATGTGGAGATCTACTCCACTGCACTCAGCACAAAGCAAGAATAACATCCGCATTCTCAACACTTATATCAGTCAAGTCAGTGCTTCTATGTGATGGTTCAGAGACTCGGAGCATCACGAAAAGCATTTCCAACAAACTGCACACATACATCATCAACAGCTGCCACCTACACTCACTCCATACTGATACTGAAGATCAGATAGATGGCCAGAATAAGAAGAATAAGCATCAAGGAACTCAGTCTGGCCTGGCAATGAACCAACGAGGAACGTATCACACAACAAATATGCACAAGAACAAAGTGAAGATGGATTGGATCGGGCATACACTGAGAAGACCATTTGGGGACATCACCAGCCAGGTCAGGCCAGGCTCTCGAGTGGAATCCAAAGGGGAAACGACGAGTTGGGTGTACGAGGGTGACATGGAGGAGATCGTTTGAAGAAGAAAAGGAAGCTTGTGGGCAGTCGTGGAGTCAGGTTAAAAAGACTGCAGAGAAGAGAGTAAAATAGAGGTGTGCTACTGAAGCGCTATGTTCTTCTAGGAACCCAAGGGAGAAATAATAATGATCGAATAAGAGGTCGAACTTACTGAGTTCAATGTGTGTAACTTTACTAGTAGCGTGCGACGTAAAGAGATTATTTAAACCTGGTAAGACTAATCGACCTGTGTTTAAATAAGAACTCTGCTCAGATGCCTTAGTAATACGAGGTTTTATCAGCGTGTGATTTGTTTAACGTCGGTTGTTTCTAAGATCTCATGCTTCATTGCATTTGGTTGTCGTCAGATGGATGTACTCACAACTAAAACCTACTGTAAAAGAGGTGGTTGTTACAGTTTAGGTGCCTAGTGGACAACGCTATGATGTTTTAAGTGATACGTGAGATGGCCGAGTCTTAGTGAGAACATTGACGTACTGAGATACATGTATGTTCTATTGGGTATTCTCAAATAAGGAAAAAAGAGACTTTTAAGTCCAATACTACTAGGCACCAGTAGGAACATAACATTTTTGTGGCAATACACGTTGAATTATCACCTATAAACTATCAAGAGATATACTCTTTAATGATGTAAAGAAGTAGTAAACCGATATATCGGATGATACTGAAATCAAACTAGTATAGTGCTTTAAATATACAACTCAATGTCGGTATCCGCCATGTAAGCTTTATGCAGCGTGACTGAAGTTAGGAAGTCATTATTCCAAACAAACAATATGTGAAATGAGTAATTTTGATGGTAATTATAATTATTATCTTCATTTATTGTAATATTTTTAGTCAAGAATGCCTGTTAAGGATGTCTGTATCCCATACAGTTTGGGTATACTGGAACTGTTTTACTTAGTGCTCCTTTTCCAGCTCATGGGGCATGTTTCGTATGACCCACTAGCGTTCTGATTGGCTCCTGGGTCTTAAAATGTACTGATTATTCCTTGCCTTCCAAGGTTACTGTAAACTCAGCTGGTTTCCAGTCTTTTGATTCCTCTTTGCGAATCATTCGGGTTGAACCGTCTCAACCCTCTACTACTAATCGTTAAGTATTATCGTTCGTTCTCACAACTCTGCATCATAACAGTGCTACATTAAGCTTGTATGGCAACGTTCTGGATACCGACAATGAACAAAAGTTCTAAAATAATAAATAGTATTTTCTCTTCTTTTCCACTTCATGGTACCCTCCACTAGGTAAGAATGTACTTCCAAAAACAATGAATTTGAGTAACAAATATAAAACATGAGGATTTTCTCAAGTATGAACTTTTCCTCTTCCACTACAGAAAAGATAATAGATAGCCCAGATTACAAAAGTCAACATAGGATGTGGTACTATTGCGTAAGTGTCCAAATTATCACACCTCATATCAGCACATTAAGGGAGAATGCACTAAGATGAAAGAGAGAAATAGACAGTGAAGTAGTGAAAGCTGGTAGAAAGTCATCAAAAGAGGACAAGGGAGAATGAGAGAACAATGAAAGAGGGTATGACGATTAGAACTAAAACATGTGGATATATTTGCGCCACTGATGTTGCTTCTGAGCCATATAATCTAGAGAGGGAGAGCATCATATCGTTTATCAGTTCCGACTATCAGAGATAACAGCGGATGGCACACTTATATTGATACAGGGTGATGATTAAAGGTGAAATGAAAATCTGAGGTATGGCAGGATTCGAACCAGTGACCTCCGGGTTACCGGTCCGGTGCTTTACCAATTGAGCTACGAGACTCGGCTACTGACCAGAGTTTAATTCCACTTCAATCACCAAGGGTATTTTCCGACTGACATGTGAATTCGTGACACGTTACTGTCTTATTCAAGTACATTGGAATTGGGATGAGAAGTTCTGACTGGGCAGTCAATGTGAGTACGTTTGAATCCTACCACAGTCCAGATTTTCACTTCGCCCTTAATCACCACCCAGTATCAATACAACTTTGCCAAACCACAGTTATTTCAGATAGTCAAGACTGATTACATATTACTTTCAAAAATTAGTTATATTTATACTGGGTGATGATTGAAAGTGAAATGGAAATTTCGACCGCGGTCAGACTCAAACCAGCAACTACCGGGTTTCTGGACCTCGTAGCTCAGTCGGTAGAGTGTCGGGCCGGAAACCTGGTGGTAGTTGGTTCGAATCCAGCCTTGGTCCAAATTTTCTTTTCACCTTCAATCATCACCTAGTATAAATACTAGTCTGCCAAACCACGGCTATCTCAGATAGTCAAAATGATAATCATCTATATTTCCATCATTTTCAATTGATTTAAATCCATTATGTTTTAATTATGGTTTTTAGCATAACCTTAACAGCAATGAATGATACATTCTAGTTTGAGTGAAATTATTTAATATCAATTAAAATCCAAGTATATTCAACTGAAAACAGGACGAAATAACAGTCCACCATTCCAATACTAGCAACTAACGAAACATTGTAATAGTTTAAGTCAGAGAATAATTTAATTTCTCGATATATAAAATGAATCATGATAAACACAATACTAATTTTATTAGAAACTTACTTTTTGGTTATCTTATCAAATCCACTTCGACTAAAATTGAACAAATCATTCAATCCACCAGATCGTTTTGGAACAGAAACATGGTCAATGATATCTTCAAAGTCATCAGATGGGATAATACCCAAATCGGAATTAAGAACTGCTACACGTGATTCCAAAAACTTTAGTTGAATTTTTTTTAAAAAACAAGGATGAATAAAATTAACAAATAACACAAGCAGCAAACTGTAGACATAGTAAAGATAATTCAATGACCAAGTAGATAAATGTTCGTGTATGAAGGGATTATTTATATGGACTTGGTAAATAGTAACGGATGATTTGGAAATCTTTAACTCGACTATTAATTGTTGAGTAAAGAGCAGACAATTTTCATGCAATTAATTAAAGCAATTACCAGACACACTTCAATACTTCGATTTTAAAACTGTAAACTATACGGCCTTTCAACAAAAACACTGTCATATACAATAACTGGTGAAATTTAGACAATCCTAGAATTCACTATTTGTTAATATACTAGTTAAAAATATATCGGTTAAAAAACGATCCTAGACTTCGTTTTCTCAAATTTATAGAGTAAGATCGTAGATACGGTGGGAAATGAACATCAAACTCAATACCCTTATAAATATGTCATTGCTTTATCCATTTGAAGAGTTTAGACCTTGTTTAGAACCACCAAAAAATAATGAATTATCTTTAAACTTTATTTCATAATTTTTAGACATCAAATGAAACTTCATGAAACTAATCTTCTTGATAGTCCAACACTAGGATCACTCTTAAACATCCTACGAATACATAGTCATTTTTTCACATATTTATCCTTAGTTGGAATGCCAATACATTATTTTTTCTTTCCTTGGATTTCTGAACGGTCGAGCCATAGGATCACCAAGGATGGTCAATATTATTTCCATGGGATTGGGATGTTACTGTTGACTGTACGATCCTAAATTATACTACGACAATCTTCCTTTAGATAAGACATTATAAAATATTTTAGTCAAAAAAGCAGCCAGAGAAGATAAAGGTACCTGAAAAAGGGTGAAGTCAAATATAGCGATTAAAATAACTATTTGTGCTACTGAATACTTCAGAATACATTTATATACGTATATAAACTTCTTGGGTCCTTTACTATGGTTGACTTCATAACGTAGACCATCTTTCATAGAATTAGTCGCCAAGTAATATGAAGGTCAGATGTTGAGTTTAAGGTTAGTGAGGTGAGACAATCGACAAGGTGCTTAGCCTTGATCAACTCAGGTAGCTGGGAGATTTATTAAGCATGCCTAATTACTATCTATTGCATGGCACAATGTCGGCTAAATTACGTTAAGGTTAGAAAAAGGTTAAAGATAACCCGCTTAAAACATGATATGAGTCCATAAAGTCTTTAACTATTGGTACAGTGATGCAAAGCAACTTGATATGGATATTGACTGACTGGTTGAAATGATGCAGTTTAGAAGTTACAGGAATTGACTGAGCTTCACTGACCAAGCTTGCTACAGTCAGTAGTGAGATTTTAAAGTACGCTTTGCTTGATGTTACATGTTTCGAGATAGTTGGTAGGAAACTATAGGTTGTCAACTTGTTGGCTTTTACCGACATGAGTTCGCAAACATGAATGAAATCATGTTTGCCTTAAAGCGGTAATTATCTTAATGCTTATTGGCTATTATTATCATTAATATTATTTACAATGAAGGGATTAGAAACAAAGGACTACACACAAAGCTTTTGAAAAATTCTTTGTCCCTCAGTAGATGTTAAAATGGAACTGAGAACTCAATAATTAGTGAAAATTGGAAATTCATCGCGGGCTGATTTTATTACAACTCCTTTAAAAGGTAAACGTGGTACAAAATGTGAAACCAAGAGACGTGCCATACAAAATAATACAAAAACACCAAGAAAACAAAAGTGATATAGAAAGAAAAACTGAACGGAAATAGAAATAGAAGTGGGTCATTAAATGAATAGTCTCAAAGATACATTTAAGTAAGCAAGGATTACTTTTGTTCATTAAATGAATGATGACCTCAATCGCGCCTAAACATACTCTATCTCACTTCACAATTATATATATGATGTTTCCACCTGATACGAACAATCCCACGGAGATGAATGTGATCGAGCCAATACAGTCATCGAATATCTCCAAATCCAGAGAAGCCAGCTACCGCAGGAGTAGAGCAGAACTGCTAGCACTGATGCATTGTATATCCAACCTTCAACAGCAAGGTTAACGTTACGACGGCGGCAAAGATGATCCACACTGGTGTATGCTGCTGTGGCTCTCTACACGGTTGCGAATCCCGTTAATCATACCTCAGCCGACGACTTAGATACGCAGACTTTTTGACAGCCTACGACAGTTTATCACCAAGGGCGAGTGCAGAAACGAGATCCAATCTTCAGAAACCACATTCAGCCTCGGTAGTACAAAGAAAATTGATCACTGACTGACTAAATGCTATTTGAGGAGTCTATCTATGTAGTGATGTCGCCCGCAAACTCAAGGTCGAAAAGTTTTCCATTCGGTAATAGGCCTTCACAACCACTACTCAATTCCTTCGGAGTTTTCTCGAGAATATTACTTTGTCAGAAGTAGAGAAGAGCGAGTAAATTGGTCAGCCCAAACCAACCTCGATGTTAGTTTGCAACAACAGAGCAATGCTACATCCCCTCAGTTTTAAGACACTAAAAAGCTTTTCAGGGACACCTTTCCAAAAGAAAATTCTAGAGTACGCCTGGTCCAATGAATCGAAAGACAATGATTGCTGTTCTGTTGATAGTTATGGATCTATGGTTTCATAAATATTTATAATCTGCGGCAAGATGTGTTTACAAGCAAAAGGTAACCGTTGGGGTTAAGCCTATATAGCTCAGAAGCGAGACCAAAGTCAATACATCAGAACTATGAGTGTTGTATGTAAGACCTAGAATCATGGGTTCCTCTAAACCATATGTAACAACCAGGTGGTATATAAGGTTTGCTTAAGATAAGTAATGAAATATGACTTCATTTCTGATAAATTTTGATCAAAACCGAAAAATATGATTCAGTACTAGTGGCCATTGTAAAAACAATAATGCATATACATACTTTCATTTGAAATAAGAGCTAACTATAATCAATGATCTTATGATATGGGAAGAAATATACCTTAAAAGGGGGAGAAAAATTCTCTTCGGCACTGACTGAAGCCACACTGAATAATTTCACCTAAAACATGACTGACAACTTCATTCTTAATAGCAAGTGATCAATTGGCAGGTATTCTCAAAAACTACTTTCAATGAAATATTAGGCCAGACTGTTTAAATAGGTAAAACGGATATATACAAAAGTATCAATCACATCGTCACTCAAAGGACGACGTAATTTAACCCACTTGTATGACCATTTGAGAATTTAAAAGTTCTGTTAGATACGGTTGTAATTCTCTACCACAAGAGATTACGAATGCAGCACGATCAAAAAACCATCCACCAATACGAGGTTGATCAAATTTGATTTGTGTTCGACAATTATCATTCGATTCCTGTATCGGCAAAAGATTGACAGATGAAGAGGTTTCATTGTGCTGTAAAGCAGACCGATAACCACCTATCATCGAAACAAAACAGTAACAGTCATAATTAGATTCAATAATCGGCGATTACATAATTATATAATCTGTAGTACTTACTTTTCAGATCAAACGTGAGACCACTCAAAAAAGAAATACAAGGCGCTAAGTGTAAGCTGATCATGCCGAAGTTTTCAGTAAGGTGAATACCAATATCCTATTGTTCCCGAATATGAAAAACAGGTAAGTTAGAAAGTTGTCTTGAACAGTAAGGTATAGAAGTTTTCAATTAGTCTACCAAGCAGTAAACAAGAGTTAAATTATGAGATACCATACTACTTCTATATGTATTTATCAGTTTTTTGGCACATAGGTTTCATTGTAAGGATATTTTGATATCACCTTTAGTTTCATTTCGATTCTATTTGTTTACTGTTGGAAAATGATGAAATTTGGGATGCGAACTTCGTCCGATTTGAAACTTGTCAGTAGAATGAATCTGAATTCTAGTAAAATAAACAACCGAAAACCACTAAAAAGTAATTCTTTGCTGAATAAACTCCTTATTTGCTTGAATTGTGATATGGTTTTCATATCAAAAATGCCTTTTTAATTATTAATAAACAATTATATTTAACCTTGCTTCGGTTCGTAGAAGTTATTCCAATTAAAAGGTTTATGTATGATCTCTATATTCAGAAATATTGATTTGGTGAGAAAAGTAGAGATTTCTTTTATCCCCTTGTGATACTTCTTCCCTTTCTTAAAATCTTAGAAATGATCACTCTCATTTTCATTGTATTTTATGCTCGTAAAAATCTTCCAGTTAACTTTGTGACGGATTATCAGTTTACTTTTTTAGAATTATCATCCTGCTTTCATATACAACTCCCCTTGACAACTAACAGTTTTATTCCAACATCATACTTTAATATTTCCTACTAATGACTAGTGAATAATAGACGATTTATCCTCTATTCCATTTAGTAATTTAATATTAATAAATATCTGGAAAGAATAAAAAGAAATGCAGTTTTTACTGAAGTTGTGGCTCATTGGTCTAGAAAAGAGAGTTACCTACTTACGACGTTCAGGTAGCTGGTTAGTTACATTCTCCCTCACATAATAAATGCGGCTCACTGCCTACTGGAAGATTGAGCAAAAGGTTGCTGAGTGGGTTTCGATTCAAGTTTTTACTGCGAAACATGTTCTTATCACTCTATTCACATTCGTAAAAGGAACTTAATGTACGAATGCTTTTTGTTTCATGACCTAGTAGAAATATTTAAACTAAGTACCTTCTCAACAGTTAGAAGTAGCTCGTCTAAAATGTATAATAATCGTGCTTTCGATACTTTAATATACACATTAAATTTCATGTTAATTTGTTTGTAGGATATTACACACAGTGAAACAGTATTATTTGTTGGATAAAGTTTCTGTGATCTACGACAAGAAAATAGGACAGATAAAAAAGATAAGTACTCATCAGTTGTGCTTTCAAAGTGTAGAGCTATGGTTCATTGGTTTAAGGAATTGACTCTCAAGCAGTGGGTCATGGGTTCGAACCCCGTTCCATCTACTCAGATTTAGGCAGTCAGGTATTATGATTAGTCCTCACACAAGAGGTGTGGTTTATTGCCCACTGCACGAATGTGTACAAGGTTGGTTGAGTGGATCTCGGTGGTAAAGTCATGCAGAAAGGCATGAGGAATTATAAGAAAAAGATGAGTACCGCACATATATAGTATGGATGCTAATAGCGGCAACACTAAGGAGTAAGAATCCGAAACCTGCATGTTACGGAAGGTACATGAGAAAGTCTACGCAGGATTCTTAACAGAACTAGGATTAAGGTGGCATTGAAACCTGCAAACTCACTACGATACAAGCTTTGCAGTCTAAAGAATCGTATACAGCCTACTAGACGAAGACTTCATGCAACGATTGTGAAGTCAAGTACACGGGTTACAGTAGTCGACCTGAGTCAATTAGAATAAAGGAACCAGAAACTTAACCATTAATGATGAATAATGGCTAGCAGTGGAATCCAAGAAACCCGTTTGGCCAGCTAGGTGTTTCTACCTTCCAACGAGTGGTGTTATTCTGAATAAGACTCAAACTCAGGACCAACCGCTTTAGATGCCAGAGCGTTATCCACTGGGCCACTGAGTCACGACAGCCACTTCTTGTACGATGGGCATAGTATAGTATAGTCTTTGACAAAACCTAGAATGGTAGACCCTAGTATGTCAAGGAATCCAGAGAAAAGCTCAGACAGACAGAACCTTGAACATAAGTGGATCGGTTCAAGTTGCCACATCTCACAGTGGTACACAAAAGACAGATAGATAGAAAAAAAGTGATACAAAAAGTTGTGAGAGAATAAACAGTCTGAAGATAACGGTTAATGCAAATAATTAACCTTTAGAAGACGTCAAAGAGTGCTTACATTTATGCCACTTGAACCTATTTTCAGCTATCACCAAGAGTCCTCAACCACTTATTCCTTTCGTCTTAGGGACCCTAACCAGGCAGTCGACACCTCACCACACGACTCAGACCAACAGTAGGGGACTTCATGGACTAGTGCCATGTCTTGTTTTGATTACTCTGAACCCTCTTTCAACCTAATCCAACTTCCCATAACATGATACATCAAGGTAGGCGGTGGCTCAGCATGCGTAGTACGTGTCCAAGTCATCTCGGTCGACTAAGGTTCACAACCTCATCAGTCATCGCAATGTATGAGATTACACACAACCACACAATAGGAAGGGATAGAGTGACTAGTCCTGCAAACCAACTTACCAGTGTAGAGGGAAAGATCGATGACTGAAGATTTGTCTGTCTAGTCCTTACTAAGCATATGCAATAGGATACAGATACATGTGAAATCCTATTACCCACACGACAATTGAATAAGGAGAAATCGAAACACAAGAAAAGGACGTAAAACATATAAAATTACCTATGATATTAGTATGAACAATAAACTTTTTCCGACAATTATTCCAGTAAGTAATACTGTTTCACAATGTGAAATATTCAAGAAATAAAAAAAACATGGAATTGTACATTGCGACAGCGCCCAATGAAAAAAAATCACTCTTCTAAATCCTATTAATTAACAATAAAATCTAGTGAATAATGAAATGGAAGACAACGTACCAAGCAGAATAGCCATCAATTCTAGATAGGGTCGAACTAAAAGTAGAGCAGCAGTTGAAGCAACATTTTCTGTTGAGCGTATATGCTGTAAAATTGCACTATGTGATGCATTACAACGTCTAATCAACCAATGACGCTGTAAGAAAAGAAAAACGTATGTTAAGTGTATAGAAAGTCCATGCGTATGCATTTAGAAAAAAACAGTAAGTTGAGCAGGAAATACTTCATTTCAGTTAACTTCCCATCTGTGATTCTGTACTGATTTAGAGATTTTACAATGAATATCAAAATACCGATCAAATTGTTGTGTGATAGACAATAGTGATTATAAATTTTAAGTAACTCCTGAAGATAAAAATTAGAGAAATCAAGATGTAAAATAATGAAGCGGATTATATTACACAGTTGAACAGTAATAATGATGATAATAGTCAGAAGCAGGTTGCTATTTGACAGACCTGTCATGAGCACATACCACCACTCGACTAGACCATATTATATCGTATCGTTATCAGTAGACCAACTGAACATCATTACTGGCAGTCTGCTTAAACTTTGGGCTACGGAAACTTTTCATCGAGTTCATCCCTTTTAATTTGTTTTAATCTTATAATGTGTCTTTTAAACTCCTCAAGTAATGTTGGGCATTTTTAAAATGGTTTTAAACTGGTGTTTTTTTACGCTGACAGCAAAATAAAGAATAAACCATACGCCGGTAAGCGATGGGCTTATAAATGCAAAGAAATACAGTATATTACTGTTCCTTGGATAACTATGTCGAATTTTAGCACTGCCTGAATAAATTACCACCACCAACGTTACGCTCGACATTCTACTCATCCACCAATCCAAACAAGAAGTTAACGTAATACCAGGTGCTAGTTTAACATTATAGCTTCTATTACTGTTATTAGTAACATTATTCAAATACAATGATTATGTTACTTAAAGATATTGTACAGAGAGTGAATTTGTGCAACTATTATATGCTGAGAATTCCATACTGCACCATAAGCCTTGTATGGAATAAAGCTATCATTATTGATGCATTCATTTGATACGGCCCTTCACTGCTACACAAGATTGTGCGATAACTGTAAACGGAAGTGAAGCCTTTCGTCAAGTGATATAATGCTTACGGCAATTCAGTAAAAATGAAGACGGAAAGATAAGGAGATATGAGTGCCAATAAAACAGTCACAAAAAGTTGTGGGTAAATAATTTAGGCCATTGAGTAGAAAGGTATAGTGAAAGGTTAAATTAGGATGATGACCGACGTGATGAGCGCAGCCTCACATATCTTCCTAGGAATTAAAAGCTCAGTTCATGGAACTAAACGACAACAGTTTCCGCTATGCAAAGTAGAAGGATACGCAATGCAGGTCCTAGGTTAGAAGGTGTACGATAAGCAAATGTATACACTTTTACGGTAAACATTTTGGGGATCACTTTCAACTAGCTGTGAAAGTATGGAGCTTTTTAACGTAATCATTCTTCCAGTCACTCATGATGGGTGATGATTAGAAATTCTGTGGTAGATATGGTTCATCCTAATTCCTATACAACAAGGATGGCAAGGACAGCTAAATTGGTGAATAATTATAGAAGAGGCTAAATGGGAACAATCTACTTTTATTTCTTGCATCCATAATCTATTGATTCCAAACAATAGGATATGACTTTACAGTAGGGAATATTCCTTAAAATTATTCTTTAACAGTGTCCTGATCTCATCAACGACTCCACGCCTGAGGTACAGTTTCAAGTTGGCAATCATGGAAACTATCATCACTTCTCGCCTAACTTTTGTTTCAGTTATATGTTTAGTTACAAGCTTGGTTGGATATCATTTCCCAATAAGTATCATCCAAGAGATTGATTTTCGCATGAGTTAAGCCTTTTGCCGAACTTCGTTTGGTATACCACAAAAAATGGGTGTACTGACCTACATATGCTTCGTCTAATGGTTTCACCTAATCTCACCAACAGGAAGTGTAGATATGAGATACTGAAATTTCATCCTTCTTCTAAGGTTTAAGTAATTACGAGAAGGAGGATTTCCAACTGGCTAATTGTTGCTTGTAAAGAACTGTTTCAGTTTCACCATTTCGAAGTCTGTTGGATTTGAAATGACTGGTGATCGCACGGCCATATCATGAGATTGTCAATAAAACATAACTGAAAATACAGCGTGCATTCATAGTACATGTCAGAACTTTTAGAGTGGAGGCAGGAATCCACCTTCTAATTTTACGCTTAATCTGGCTATCATATATAAAATCTCCAGTTACGACTTTAAAAATTGGTAAATAGAGATGAAATAATTCATGATATTATGGATTCATTATTCTCTGGACTTATACTACAGAAAATACTTGTCAAGTGGTTGTAAAAGTCCTACTAATCATCTTGCTGTTAAGTACTTCGGAGACTTACTGACTGAAGAGTACATTTAACAGAACTACCTTGGGGAATATAGGTAAGTGGTTGAACAGTTGAGAGTCAGTATGTAATAAGAGGTACTACAGTTGATACTTTACATAGAAAAATAAACATTTATAATCAAGATGCCTATTTATTTCCAGTGTAAGTGCAACAAAAGGAAGAAATCATACAATCCAATAGGATCTCGAGTATTTACGCTAAAAAAAAAGTCAAAATGAAGCATTTCCTTAAGAAATAATATGCGATGAAGGTGATGCTAAAACTGACAACCAAAGACTTTTAAGTCCATACTAGATTTGTTTATTTAATTTATTACGCACATTGATACAGTATTATTTACTTGATGATGTTTCCAGCATAAATTACTATTGCTCACAATCACATCAGTGTGATCACATAACTTTCGACATCTGACTTTTATCACTTCATATTCTTAGTTTTTATTGTTAGTAAAATTTTCCATATATCTGGTACAGGTGTTGCGTCATTTCTATTACATGTGTTGCGTGTTGATTCAATGAACAAAGATTCAGTAATCAATCTCTTTCCTCTCCATCTAATTATATTGCACTTAAGTACAGTGGTTTTATCCCACCCTATTGTTTAGCTATGTTAATGCATGCAATGCAATGGCCAAGTTTTTTCCCATATTATTGATCTTACTGGGTTTTGTCATGCTATATTTAGCTAAATTCCTATATTCCGCTAATCTACAGTTAGGTGGAGAGAGAGGGGTTGATTGCTGAGTCTTTTTTCATCGAATCTAAAACCTCCAACACATGTAATAAGAATGACGCAACACCTAAACCAGAGATATGGAAAAATTTACTATCAATAAAATAATATGAAAGGACTATAAAAAACCAGATATCGAAAGTAGTATGATTACACTGATATGATTATGAGCAGTAAATAATGCTCGAAACGTCACTAAGTAAATAATACTATATCGCTGTGTTATAAATCAAATAAACAAATCAATATAGAATCAGATTCTACCGGTGCCCCAGTTTTACATTTCTATCAAAGACTTTTAAACCGAGGAACAGAACAACTCGAAGTTTGCATGGGTATAATTAACAATTTTATGTTGATAAGCACTGCGAATACTAATCAAAATATTATTAAATGAAACGGTAATTTGAAATAGTGAGGAACATTTGTAGCTCAGGTGGATGGTCTTGGTTTTACTGTGTTCTCTGAGCTTAAACAACAAAGCTCAGAAAACACAATACAACCGAGAAACGGTAATTTAGCCCATCGAATCGACCGGGGAACATGAGAACGGCTGATATTACGCAACTTGGTAACTTGGTGAATGTAATAATATATGAACACAGTTAACCTGTAATAGCCTATGATGCTACCTAGTCACGCATAGAGAATTAACTGAAGCAAGTTTTGAGCCTGGGAGTTATTACTTAAAAGTGAATTGCCTGAGTCAATGAAATAGATTTTCACATGAGATCCATCATTTCCGAAGACCACTTAATTCACGCTATTATAAACATTAGTTATGGAACTATATTACTGTAGGTTAGTTTGTTTTTGGCAACAAAAACTTAGTTGATGGCGCTATCAGTTTCTAGTGTGCAAATCTAGTTGACTTTACAAAATATTAACAATCATACAAGACATATTATTTTTTTTTCATTTTGATAACTATTAAGTTTTCACTTCATGTTTCTCACATATATAAACAAATGCATGCACCTTCAGACGTATATGAGACTACACTGTCATCAAGAGTACTGATAAAATGCTTCATGGTATATTGTAAAGTGGAATTAAAGAAAGTATATAACATATTTGTGACTATCAATATCTAAAGTTAAAGTGTTTTATAGTTATTCTTCCAAAATGAGTTATTCATAAATTCTTGGTAGTGATCATTTTTGGGACAAAGATTAATTCACAAGTAAGAGCAGATAATTTTTCTGCTAATCAGTATTATATCAATTATTCAGATCAGACAAGAGCGTTTAGCAATGAAATTTATATTCAGTAACATTCCCGTCTTGTGCTTAAATACTCTCTGAGTTGTCAGCTCTATCATCTATGGTTATGAACTCAAATCCCACTTCATTTACTTCAGTCAGATAAGTTTAATTAGCACTACAAGATCTCACACCTGTACAACCCAGTACGAAAATTAGTGAAAATGACTTTAATTAGGGATTTGTGGGAAATTTGGTGATTTTTCAAATTGGTATTCATCATGGATTGACATGAATTGGAGGAACACTGGAAACCTGGAAGCACTGAATAGCTGATTCATTCTAGTTTTGGACTCCTTAGCAGTGAGCGCTTAGTGGCTGGCCGCGGAACCTGGAGGTCCTGGGTTCGATCCCTGGCGGGGTCATGGGTGCTCACTACTCAGGAGTCCCATGCTAGGACGAAACAGCTGTCCAGTACTCCCAGGTTTCCAATGTTCCTCCAAATGATTCAATTCCATGATGAATATCAACATGAAAAATGATTTTAACTTACATATGGGAGCGATAATAATCACAACAATAAATTAGTTACATAAAGAGAAAAACCCAATCAGTTAAATAGAAATAATATTGCGAAGGTATCCTAATTTCGTTGAAGGCTTTATGAATAAGTGACTAGAAGAATGTATACACTAAAACAATCAGACGTCAAGTGTAGATCCTTTTTTCAACAAAAACGCGAAATTACACAAAGATAAGAAATATTTTGAGATTGTGACCCAATTGTTAAATGTCAGAAGCATGACCCACTGAACCATGTCGCCAGAAATCATACAAACAAATAAACAACCAATCGAAGTAGGTGAACTGAATTATTTAGTTCTCATAGATTAGTATAAGTATATGCAACTAGGCCAGAAGCATCAATTTATGCATGAAAAACATTTTCATTTAAAGCATGCAAAACAACCTGTACTTTGCAAATGTTGTCAGGTAAATAATTAAGTTATTTATGCATCTTTTAATCCAGTAAGACATCCAGCAAAGAAATGAATTTCTGATGTTAAAACAATCGATTTCAAAATAAGTCCGTAGTAGAAAAATAATCAGTTAGTTCTGTTAGAGAAAAAACAACAGACAAAGCAATGTAGAACTTAGCAAATAAGTCCAACGGTTTAAGTTGTCACACTTGATAGCAAAATGCCAAGAAGTATGCAAGGAAAGATTAATATTCAAGTAGAGAGAAAGAAAGACATTTAGTAACTAATTTTGACAGTCTAATGGTCAAATTACTTACCAGAATAGATGGCATAGTCGTCACTACATCTCCCGTTCCATAAACAATATCATGATCCAAATCCACAAGTCGAACTCCAGGTACTAACATTGGTTTCATCTTCTACACATAAAAAAGATAGAAAAACAAGAAATACAACATATGTCTTCATACAGACAATATTAACAAACCTCTGTTAAACATGAGTGAACACCAGCAACAAAGGGAGTTGGACAGCTTTTGAGAAAAAAAATAAGCAAGATATTCCAAGAACTTACCCGACATAATCAATACAATTAGAAGGCAGTAATGAGTAAATCAAGTGAGGCCTGAATAAGAAGAAAAACGATTCAAATTAATTGACTATTATTAAACAGGAATTATCAATACCACATGAGAGGATATAAAAGGCTCAAACTGGCCAGTAGACAGGAGGTAACACGTTGTAAACGACTTGAATAAAATATCACACTTTTCTCCAGAAGTAGGCTGTTGTGGATAAGGGGAAAGAAAAGAAAGTAGTTGTTTACTCGATGAAAGATAATCTCACCTCTCAAATATGACAATCCAATTACCAATAGATAGTGTGTTATAATACTCTAAAATATGCCGCTACAAATGAGAATAAATAAATATTAGGGGTAACAGCAGCATAAATCAATAATTACATGATAGAAAAATTGAGTTTGTGCGTCTGGTAAGGATACATCCAGTCTCTATATATTTTTTTTAAAACAAGTGATAAATTGGACAGGAACTACCACTGAATTTAATGGTGACGATGACGATAATAATGACAAGTCAAGTGTAGCCGTACCACAACGTTGATACATTCGTTTAACAATGATTTCAATATTATGTCTGTTTTCCTTTCTGTATAAATGCTCTTGATTGATTAATGTTAATAGTGAATGCTGAAGCTCGAAATAAGGCAGATAGCTAAAACATTGTAGAAGAAATGAAAACAAGATCGTTGAATCCCTTACCTACTAATACAGGCAATATACTTGGATATAGGCAGGTAAATACATGCATAAAATTCTACATTTCCATTGCTATCCGTGAATATAAGAGTATACTCCTCGGAGACAAGACTGTGACAAACAAAAAGAAAATGAAGAACAGCATTAAGTCAAACGGTATTAACTTACTTTTTGTGTTTACAGGGAAGAACAAAGTTTCGAAGCTTATTGAGACAAATATTCTTATTATACGCCGAGGGGTAAACATATTCCAACACAGGATCTGTAGTTATACATACCTAAAAGTTATGTCCACTAACCTCCAGTTTTATTATTAGCATTGAAAATCACAATGCATTCTACCAACTGATCAGTTTTTCTTTTGAAAAATAAATAAAGCATAGTGAGACACTGGTAATTAGAATGTTACCTTAAACGATTCCAGAACATGACATGCGATTCTACATTGAATACGAACCCTTTTCACTCCGAATAAGTACTAGGCTTTCAGAGAGAAATAAAACATACTATTGTCACTTGTCTGCAAAAGAAACAAAAGTGATGATTTAATGAGTAACGCAATGAAAAATTTACTACATCATCCATTAAAATATATTTATGTGGTATGCTACTACACCATAAATTTTAAGCATAATTCATATTGTATCCTAAAACGCTTGTACTAAAATATGATAAGTAATAATGTGAGGCTCTTATGAATGAGGGTGAGTGGATTACAGAAACGGTACAATAAACGCCATGACTGATGAAAGTTCTGTAAAATATTCTTGCGAAATGAAGAGAAGATAGATACAATTTTGAGCAACATGGATTAGACGTGGGACCTAGGTTTTCATATCCTACTGAAAGGGCTGCTTTTACTGAACCTAAGATGGACAGAGAAACGGAAGAAAAGCTGTTATTTTCCTACTAGTGAGAAACGAATGTCAGGCAGTAACTCTGATACCTTAACATTACTGTATGATAATGCTTGGAACCTCCGTTGTAAGACGTCAGAGCACGTGATTTGATGAATTAAGACCCCAAATAATTTTGCAGATAAGGCCCGTTAGAGATTCCGAAACAATCCTCTTCACTTTGGTACTCCTATGCCAGAGTTTATAAGGTTTCAAGTCTTAAGATTGGGCTGTAGTACGATACACGTGAGACCTTTAATATGAGGTTGACTACGAGAAACTAGTTAGCTGTTCGGTTAATTTAGAAACAGAGGTAGTAACAACTGGATACCCTACCAGCTTCTACTTGCAGAGTCAGCATGTTATTATAAAGAGCCAGTTTAAGGGTTCATAATATACAGTATAATAATACCAAATCTTGGATTCTTTACTATGATAATCTGTCAGCACTGAGCTCATTGGCTTTCAGGCTTAGACCGAGCAAAAAGATGACTTTCCAATAAAATTCAGTTGAAGTAGATAGGATTATCGTTAACAGTATATATATATATATATATATATATATATATATATATATATATATATATATATATATAATACTGAAAAGAGCAGGCATACAGATACATACAGTACGAACAGTGACTGCAACCTTAGTGGCGAAAATGCATTCTCTGCTGTCTGAAAGCATGAACATATGTGCTTTTCACAAAAATGGTGAGTTCTATTTTATACTCCTAGTCTTGACATGAGTAATAAATAATAACATTTTGAGCAACAGAGGGGAGTTCGTATTCTGTAAGCACAGTTCCGCTATATGTGACATTGCCATTAACGGAAAAAACCAACTTTATTCTTTTCCTGGGACAAATGTATAGAACTAACATTATGCAAGGTCGATATATATAAGGAGAGGATACATCTAGGTAACTGACCTTGAACAATTAGAAAAATACACTCATTGAACAATATCCAACATCGGAAGTGCAAGCTTCCTGTTTGTAATGGTAAGGATAGAAGGCTAGTCAGCCGTGTTCATCCTGGCAGAAAAAATATTTCTTAAGATCTGCTGTCTCCTTGAACGCGTTGACCAATAGTGTTGATACTACTTGGTGAGGTGAGGGGTTCCATTCGTTGACCACACGATAGGCGGAACACAGATTCACGCTAAGTTGACTTGATCTCAGTTTTTGGATCCTCTTGTGATTCTCTCATATGTAATCAATCCTAGTAGGAGAGAAAAGATAGGACATATCAGTACCGAAATTATTATTGAGGATATATAGTACCAGTGTGTGATGACCTCGTTTCCTATAGTAAGATAGCGCGAATAAGTTTGACCTCTCTGGTCGTTCCCGATAATATAGATTCGAACGGCAAGCCATAAGTTTGGTACTTACCCTCTGAACATGCTGCGGTGCATCAGCATCCTTTTGTATGTACGGGCTGGTCACTTAAATACAGTTTTCTAAGTGAGATCTAACGTAAGCGGAATAGGGTATTCTGAAGGTATCGTCATCAAAACTTTTGACAGCCGTGTGAGTGAACCACAATACACGGAAGCCCACTGCCGCTGCTGCACGGAAGTTTGCCAAGGTTTTCAAATCATGGCTTGTGATAAGACCTAGGTCTCCCGGCTCAAAGACTGGGGGTAGTGGCGCAGTAAGCCATTCGTTGGCAGCTACCGGCCCTAAAGCTGGGCTGATTGTGACATCTTCCCAGCCTGTAGGGAGCCGAGTCCGAGATAAAGACGTACGGTAGAGACCAGTGACTGGCTCGTCGACACTGTCCACTAGCAAAGACGAGAATAGGGGGTGCGCCTCATAGTAACCCGGGAAATGTCCAGGCTCAAGATAGATGAGCAACTGGAAAATCGTTCCTTATGTTATTCACACCGTATTCATTAGTGGGGCAGTAGTGACACCACTATTGACGATTAGTGTGTCTTATTGCAGACGCTGCGGTCGGAGAGTATACAGGTGGATGAGCACACCTTCAGTTTCTGCCAGGGTAATGCTCTTGCTGAGCCGTTAAGGCTCACGCGTTCAGTAGTCGTTTGAAGGGATGGGCCCGTGTGGCTGTGGTTACTACTTTCACAGTGTTCCGCAGGCCACCTAATTCTTGTGAAAACAAGTTTGGTCTCACTGTCGTCTTTTCACCCCGCAGGGCATGCAAGTGGGGTGCCGCCGAGACTGCCGGTTCTTGCCTGGCGACGTCTTCCCGTTGGAGTGGTCCACTTGGTGGCCTATCTTGTGGGCGGTAATTAGGTAGCTTTTTTCTATCAACAGCTTAGGGTGAACAAGGTGAGTTGTCCAAGGAGTTGCACTTGTGTTTTTCCTGCTAGTCCAGGAACCGACCTTGTCGTCCCTTGCTTCACCTTCTCGGGGTACTCGTGTCCCTCTATAGTAGATGGGGGACTATCCTGTCGAACACCTATACATGTGGTCTTACATAGGCTTTGAAAACCATGAAGAACATTTCAGTAGACAGAGCCCCAGGCTGCCAACTCAGAAAGTGCTTGAGGGCGTTCGCCTTCGCTGCCACTCCGTTGTAGCTGGTACTAGCATTCAGTGTACCAGAGAAATTTGGTCCTAGGTCCTTCGTTGTGGATGCCCTGGAGATTGTACACCTGTCGAGGGTGTGGCTGGTCTTCATTGCTTCCGGTGTGCAATGATAGATCACTGTGTTTCTCTAGGTTAGAGCTGAAACCATCTGCGGCTGACCAGGACTTTAGCTGCAGCAGATCATCTTGAAATATCCTCGGACCCTCTTCCCTACCCATTGACCACCATGTTTTGGTGTCAATGGGAGGTAGGATACAGACGGGGAGATCTGGGCGTGGAGGTCACCATTGAGTAGTAAAATTGGGTTGGCTTAAGGATCGCTAATTGTCACTCCTGTCCTTACGCTCTCCCAGGCTGGTCGAATTCTTTCAACTCTGCTACAGAAGTCTGCTTCCTCTGGATATGCTGTAAACCGTACTGTGAGCAGTTTGATGATACCCAGTTTTGGAAGTTTATCGGGCACCGCGTGATGTGGGACTCCATCGAAAGCTTTGGCCACGTACAGGGAGATAACGTGAACTGTTTGCTTGTTGTCCTGTCTACTAGTCCAGTCATTCCAAGCCGTCAGCAAATTCGTGGCACATGACCGTTCAGTTCCTAAGTCATACTGCATGGGATGGACCATGGTGTTTCTGTCGATGTAGTCCCGAACCACATCTGCACCCGGCTTTCCGATACACTGGATATTACTGCAGGTAATACTACCGGTCTGAAGCTTCGCCGGTTCTTACGACTTTTTCCTTTGAAGATTGGTGAACTCGTGACACGCCAAATTCTAACAACTGCGTGAACAGACTCTGTACGGGTATCATAGCACCCCGGTATAAATCTGCAGAACTATTGGCCTAAAGTCGCTATAGCCCCAGGATTTCTCTATTCTAAATTTTGATAGTTTCGCAAACGCCAGGCTTGACGAAATCTGTATGTTCATCACCTTTATGCCACTGTCCTGGGACTTTGTTATATCAATAGATATTGGCGATGGGTGCGTCGCTGCATTAAACTGACGGCCAAATCAACTTTTCAACAGCCCCATTATCTCGTCGCTATTCAAGAGTTCTGCGTTCGGACCTGTGATCAAGTTTCAACCCCTGTTCGCCGGCTCTCGTCGTTGCATGAAATTGTATGGCTTTTTTGGGTTGAAGCTTAGTTGTTTGGTTAGGTTACTCCGGTATTTGTACTTGCTATTACAAACACTCATATTACATAGGCTGTGCAACTTCTTGTAGCTAAAAAAGTCCGACCCTTTGCAAGGTGCGTGCCATCGATACCACGTCTTCCTTTTCCTCTGTATTCTCCCTTGTGCTGCTCCAGTAGCCCAAGACCGTTCGAGAGATGATCGTCTACTTAGCTTCGAAACACTCTTTTTGATAGCGCTTCAAATAATATCCCTAATGCATGTACAGCGTTCATCTATCGATAAAAAGTCCCAATATTGTAGACATGTCGTGCTCAGGAGTCCATTGTTCATGGGGTGATAGACTGCCTCCCAGCAACGAGAACGTTTCCGGTTCAGCCATCGGCAGTTTATATTTGGTTATTAAGGAAAATCTCATCAATGTGTGGACGTTTCGCGCCCGGGGGTTGGACACATTTCTTCCGCCGAAAGATCGTCGTCTGTTTGGACGTTGTCAGGTTATGATCCTTTTGCATTTGGTCTTCATCAGGTCTTTCCACAACTTTCTGCATTGGTTCCGCTGGCATCAGTTTGTTTTGAAGCCTTTGTTCGAAAGGCCTATTTGCATGGCTTACTCCCCATCCTGGGCTAAGTACTGATGTTCTGAAGTCTTCAACGAGGGCTACATGGTCACAAACTGCCAAGATGTATGTGGAAACCGTGGTGAGTAATTGTTCATCACACTCTGCTCCGCATATAGGAGGCCTACATACGACTCGTGGTAGGTACTCCGGTTGTTTCGTGGTAAAACAGCACCGCAGAGCGTCTGGTTATTTGTTAAACTGACTATCCTTTGAGAACAAGGTCGTGTTAGATATAGACACTTCCTGGTCCGGGATGTCTGATGGGAGTCATGTCTTCATAACGAAAACCATAGCTGCAAGCAGGCCGGAGTACACTGTTCTTAGCACACGTAATTTACTCACAAGACACCTCATATTACTGTAGAGGCACGTCAGGAAACTACTACCTGGTCGAAGTGTCAAATAACAACTTGTGCGGAGGTTATCGTGCTGTTGCATCAGGTGCTGGCCGCCAATCCCTACTGGAGTGACAAGCCTTCTGTTTCGGTTAATTCTGGCCTTCCGGTGTTGGCGCAACGGGATTGCTTATCGTTATGTCTATGAGCTTCAGCTTTGTGACTAGCACCGTCTGTAATGCTCTTGGAAGTCGCCTTCTGTCTCCTGGTTTAGTAGACTGTCGTTTGCTCTCTCAGCATCGTAAAACACCCACTTGATCTTCTGCGGGATACCACGCTGTGGGGGCATCTGTGAGTGATGCCTTGGAGTCGAAGCATACAGCCAGTATCTTCGGGGAGGGTGTGCCTCGCGGGTGATCAGGTTTTGGAGATCTACCTAATCCTCTGGGAAGCAAGCTTCCCAGTCTTATTTTGCGCTAGCCATCGACGCCGTTAGATGTAAGGGGGTGGGTAATAATCAAATTTTGTGGATCCACCCACCGGTTAGCATGCCTTGTGAACCATCATGGCTGCAGCCTTTTAGGTACCATTGGGGTTGGGCTCTCTTTCTATCCCTCTGATGGCCCAAAGCTTGTCTGGTTTCTTCTTCATGTCGCAGAAACCTGTGACTTCTGGCCGTTGCGACAGCGGGAGTACGTGTGATATTTATAGCGACTTAAGATAAAATATAAGTAGAATCTCTTCCTAAATTCTATTCAAAGAGGTAAATAGCCCTAATTTGTAACAGGGAGAACTCTATGTATCAGGCAGTTTCCCCTCCATTTTATAACCGGTATCATCGCAATGCAGTAGCCCACGCGGTAAGCAACATACACGCCTGACTAAAAATGATATCCAAGTCCACTCAGTTGTACCGCTAGAAAGTCTGTCCTCAGAATTCCTCGCAAACGTCTGCACACCATATTGTCTTATTTTCTACACACTAAGACTCCCATTAATTCAATTCTTTCGTGCTAAAACTTACTTCGTATTCAGAGGCCTCTGCATACGCATGTATGAACGACGACTACTTATTCCCTGTCTCCTAAATTTTCGATTAGACACGTCAGCTGATATGTTCCGGCGTTCAGGCAAATATTTACGGTGCTATACCTCGTGTTTATCGTGCATAAAAGTCACTGACTACTATCTCACCATAGTTTATTACTGAAAATACATAATTTTTGTGCAAAAACTCTTAAATTCACATCTGATTTCTCTTTCTTTGGTTATTCTGTTCTTATCTTGTTACTCATTGACTTAAGTACAGGATAAATTGTTCGACGCCCATGTTTCTTTTTCTTTCTCACAGGCAGATTTATAATGGGACCGCTGCATAGTGATTGATTTGACGGTTCGGCTCGAATTTGTGGCTCCAATTGGGATTGCACCTAGATATGTTGGTATTACATGCCGTCTGCATCCAAAAATGCAGGTTCTCCGGCTCAAAGCACTTACTTACCTCACGGCTGAGAGAACCGAAACTGACCTAATATGAAGCGACAACCTTGAAGACATATTGAATGGTTTAACGATGAGATCTTACACTTTGTGGGCCGCAAAATGAGAACAGTTTCTGGACTGAGTTACGACTTTAGCCTTATTTATTCCAGTGAATCTGTTTTCAATGACACAGAACCAAACAATCACTACACGCTGCATGACACCGTGTGACACTGGTTCCAAGCTTTGTCATCGGTCCATTCCATGGTTTAAATCTAGTTTTGACTACTCTCTGTAAGCAGCCAAAACCTGTGGATTGTTCGCATTTTTTCAGCCTTACTAATGCTCGGCATTTGATATTCTATCTACTTTTACCGATTATGCGACCCATTAACTGAAGTGTAGAGGCCTGATCACGGTTGTCTGGATAAAGCTCATGATGAATGATGACGCCTGTGTTATTATTCACTGTGGTTGTATGGCGAAGTGGTTAGTATCTAACATTTTTAACCAGCAACATGTGAATCACTGCATCTTGGCAGACCACGTATGCTGTAGCGATGTGTTCTTTCTAAATCCCCCCGACGACTGCCTGAAATTGAATAATGAACGTTCAGTACTCTTTTCCATTGACGCCATATCGCCCCTTGTGTCGGCGAACTCCACGCAACGAATGCTGCTATTTCGACTTTCGTTTACTTTTTAAGGCAGATTAGGAACATGAGCGTGAGACAAGATCGCTATGTCTGATGTTCGCATATCTGAGGGCTGCATAGTTTTTCTTGCAGTTTCTTAGTATCAGCAACTGGGTCAGATTTTGCATAGTTTCAATGAGTTGATGTATCTGTGGCAGAACTTGCACTAGTAATAATTCCGCGGATGACTGCAGCCAATTCAAAAATTTGTGATCTCTCCTTCCCTGTTGTGTCTGTAACCTCTGATAAACCTGTCAAGAGAACCCGCGGAAAACTTTCAAACCTTCCTTGAGTTGAATACATGGGACTTTGTAACTGCACCTGTTTGCGAAAGGCGTCATCGATTCTGAAACCCTAAACAAGCCGTATAATTTGGTGCGATATCCACGTGCCTTTGCGTATGGCAGGAAGAAAACCTCAAAGTTTTCACAAATCGTCTTGGCTTACCAGACCGACACGCCGAAGACTGAATAGCACATCCAGAGCTGTTGAGGGAGGGTTTTTATTCGTGTTGGAAACCTCCCCTATGATATCGTATAACACAACGAAAAAAGACTTGCGCTTCGCTTCCTATGTGTAAATTCTACATGGACACTCGTGAACTGATCAGCACACGCGATAGACAGTTGTAAGAGGTAGGTTGTGGTGCCACTACTTTAAACGTGCTCAGCTTGACGTAAGTTAGTGTGCGCCAGTAAAAGCTAGTCAGCACCTTACCTACGATTGGGTTTCGAGAGAAAGATAAATTGGAAGACATGTTGAATAGCTGGGACACCTAGAAGAGTAGTGCACTTATTGTTTCGCGGTCAGAGGTCATGTTCAGTAAAGGGTTATGGGTTGTCTGGCTTTGAGCTCTGGGGATATAGCTGCTAATCAGAGCAGAGAAGACGGAAAATTGGTGTTGTCTATGCATGGATAGATAAGCACTAAGACGATACATGGAAGTATTCCCTATCAGACTGTGTCGCTTACATAAAGATGCTTGACAGATTTCTTTGCTTTAAAACCATTAGTTTCCTCAGTCTACATTCGTCCGACCAAAAAACTGCTTTTGATCGCCATCAACAAGGCGGCGATATCTTAAAACGTCATTGACTTGTGACCTCCACAGCCTACAGTACCATAAACACCCAGGTCAGCTAAGTTTGATGTGCCTTGCTTGCGTCATATCACTACAAGTATTCATGTGCCAGTCATCACAGTCACCGCACTACACGGTAGCATAAAGGAAGAACTGAGCGCCATCTGTGGTGCACGTGTAGTTTGAATCAGATATGATTGGCAGATACGGAAGCAGAAAAATAGGCTTCGAATTACTTCGAAGTTAATAATGCATGAGGTTGCTTGAACCTTTGGATGCGTAGGATGTTACAAGTAACTTCATGCCAGATTTAGAGAGCTACTTGCCCGTGGTCTTTATTGGGAGGACAAATTCAACATTTAATCGTTGGTAAGTATTCGGTATCAGGTGTCTGTAGGCAGGTTGCAAAATGTATTAGAAACAAAGCGCAAGGGTCAGCTGCTGACGCCTTGCTTCACCATGCGAGGGAAAGGTTGGGATAGCCACAGAGGCATTTACTCCACTGCCCGGTAATCCTCATGGCAATCGAGAAGGACAGGTGCATTCAGGATTTGTATGAGCGTGGGCGTGCATTTTCCAAATGGATCGTTGGTAGGTAGACCAGAAATACTCACCAGATGTGAAATTCGTGTAAAATCTAGATTGACTTCCTATGAGGCCCCAAAAAGTGTAGATTACATTATTTAAGACGCTATATGTAACCGACCTGAAGTCCCCTGGTAACTAAGGCTCCATAGCTAGGTACGAAAAATATTCAAAGTTAATTTGTTGATTCGGCAAGAAAGGGGGTCATCTTGGAGAAAATCACGCTAGCGATTCACTCTGCCTATCTCAGGAAAGTGTTGAAGCGCCTTCTTTACGACAGATTTGCTGATACGATGTGGCCTGGAGAGTAGCTAGAGAAAGACTCAAAGCTTGCCAAGGGACCACACTGTAATGTGATAGAAGGTGCCGAATTTCCAATATAAATTATAAGCCTGAGTGAAAATGAAGGTTCTGTACTTCCATAGCAGACATGGCCATTCTGACCGTTTAAGAATGCTAAGTTTGCCAACTCAGAAGTGACCAGCGATCAGGGAGCTAGATTACAATGGAGATTGAACAGTAACCAAATGGTTCTAAAATACCAAGAAACACAATCGAGCCGCAATCTCGATGCTCGAGAAAGTTTTTGGATTCGATTTATATCGCCTTTGTTGTTTTGTTACATAAAACATTTACAGAAGATTGGATTAGATATTTTATTTTCAGACTGTAAATAAAGCACGGGAGACACCGGTTTGCAGGCATCATCAAATTAATTATATGTTCGAACTCAGTGAAGTTATACTTTCCTTCATAAAGTGCATGGTAGTGGTCATTCCAAAAAAAGCCGGATCTTGGCGGAATTATTTCAGCAAGAAAGAACACAGACGTAGCTAGCCCTCTTTTTGAATACTGGAGATTGGAAATTTGTTTGTAATAACTAAATAGTGTTGACTTGAGTGAGAAACTAGTAATGTTGCATTCAAAATGCAGCTAAAAGAACGGTGTTTGGTTGTTGTCGCCCTAATATCAGGTAATTTCACATATGTGACATCAAATTTGTTCGAAACTTTATGTAAACGCTTCCTCACATTGCTGTTTGTTCAGAAGGCGGAAATGGTTGCTTCTCTATGGTCACCTGTCCTGAAAGTCAGGTTGCATTCAACAAGACATTTCTTATTGATACATACATATGTCAGATTAAAGAGCATATATACAATGAGGTCGCCATGCATTTTCAGCATTTTCCTCCTGAGGACAGATTTTCCGTCCAAGATGTATTCGTAGGATGGATCTTGGCCACGATCGTCGGCTGTAGTTCAGTGAATAACTACACTACTTAGCATACTGTATTTATGTGAACTGAAACTATGGTAGCAAAGTTTTCTTTTTTATCAAATTTCTAGTCCGCACTAGGATATTCCATTATTCAGCTGACTGTGGGTTTTGTCGTCATACCAGATTAATCTATATGTATGTACATGATGCTCTTTACCGTGAGTTATGTGACCATGGGACTAAGTTGGTGAATAATTTGTGTGATATAGACGTCACGTGTGACTACCTAAATTTTTCGTTTTTAACGCACGTGCTTTTATGGAGTCTCTCGTTCAAACTGAAGGTTTTAAAATGGAATGGAGTCTTGTACGTGAATTTGTGTATGGTAAGGTGTGCAAGGTCGACGTTAATTTTTAAGTCTTGTAGTGATTATATATACCCAACCAGTAGGCCTAAGGCGAGTTCTGCCAACTATCCATTTATTAATTATTTCATGTATGAATCTGAAATTGTGTCTCTCTGAATTCTCACTGAATTTTCAGTTTATGTGGAGGTAGTATGGATCGCTGTAACCCTACTGGTTATTCTAGCATAGATTGGAGTGACTAAAGATTTTATTCCTGAGAAACATATGAATAGAATTTTTAGTTGAACTGTGCAAGTTGGTTGGGAGTTTGGAATTATCTAAAATTTTACTTCTTGTTCTTTATTCGCGTATTTGAGAGTTCGAGGTTTTGTCACTTCCAGTAGCAAGTGCTTGTCCGTGATCCTGCTATTTACATAGCACCAATCCTTGAACTTCCCAACGATTTGTTCCGTCTTTGTTTCGAAATTCATTATGTATACACGATGGAGTTGGTGCAACAAATCAATGTAAAAACGCATAGTTAAATATGAATATTACTGGCTTTTTCCAACCACCAAATGGTTTTTACGGGATAGCTTCTAGGAGAATGTGGCAAGGTTTTGTGAAAGTGGAAAATGAGTAGCGTTTCGGTATATGTCAGTTACTTTGGTGTTATAAATACTTCGTAGTGTATGGCTCAAAAATACAAATGAGGTTTATCGTTGGCTTATATTTTTACACTACTATGCATTGATAATGTTGAGAGTTCTTCGGTTGCTGTGTGAGGATATTCTACACTTCCAATGCGCGTTTCTCATGCATTTCTGTAGCAGAATGACAACAACATTACTGCTTCTATGATAACTTGAAGTTACATTTCGTTTTATAGCCCAGTGTAGATTAAGAAGAATACAAATTGTGGAGGACTAAATAGTGGAGTCAAATAATTCATACACATACGTTCGGGTCGTTATTACTGTTTGTTGAAACAATTGTTGCATGATGTATAAACTTATATAGTTAACTCTGAGATTAATTCACATTATTTAGTAGTTGTTACTTTATTGTTCTGGCAGTCACAGATGCTTCCCAGGTTGTCTCACTATGGGGCCATCTACTGATTCATTTTGTGGACAACCGGAAGAGAAGCACTTCAACCCCATACTGCTTAGCTTACTGTTTACTTCAACATCTACTAGCGACCTAATGGCTAAGAGAAAATTTTGTATTATCTAGCTGGGATGAAATCCGGTTTACAACTGTAGAGGGTTTCTTTAGAAGGCCTAGTTAGTATGGCTCTGCATCCTCTCCGTCCCAATAAATGCTTGCGAATGAGTGAGATTATGTTCAGACGTAAGAAAATACAAAAGGTACTGACCTACAAAAACACAAATCTATATATTTCGGATTGCGTATACGGATCCACATACATTGGCCTAGAATACCGAGTAGTGTCGTAAGGTATCCCACAATAAATGGTGCTTAAAATTTAGCATATAAATTTATGACGTGATTAGTTGCATTACATCTACCAAATAATGGAGTTACAGTCACTTGGATTTCTTCTTCGATAATATTGGATCAGCACACAGTACATAGTGACAATTTTAAGTGCTACTCAGACAAGTCATATCGTATAAATCGCTTCCTATTTAGATACTGGAAGATGTGTTTCATGTAAATAAGATGAAGGATGTCAGCAGAATAAATGTGCACAAAGTGATGTGGTGGAAATATTGAACTGTTGTTTTCACATTGACAAACTCCATGGTTTGCAGTTAAGCACTAAATTTATTGCCTGGATAAGAATAAGTCTTTAAGTTAGTACTTCCATTGTTACATTTGCTGTTTCTCGTAGGAGTAGTAGCTTGGCTTCATCAACAACCAGTTAAGTGGAAATCGGGATTGTCAGATATATCCTTTTTATTCTAAAAGAAGTACTTGTAACTGATAGATTTATTACCAACAGAAACAAGATTAGTGGATCTACTATGACAAAGTACGAACGTTCGTTTGTCAAATTCATTGCGTGTAACCTGGAAACTACTATAACAAGTTACGTTTATTCGCAAACAGACTTATTATTTCTCATTTTAGTTCTCTACGGACGCATGAAACTTGGTTTGACTTCGCTCAAATTTCAAAAGCAAAATGGTGTTCCGGGTTCGGGAGCTAGTCAGTCGGAGTATGGGTACCGAGTAAGTACGTCACCGTATTGAAGGCTCTTTACTCAAACACCTCTACGCGTGTTGGAGCCTATGGTGAGATGTTGGGTGAGCTGTGTACGTCGAGAAGTGTCTGTAAAAGAGGCACACTCTCTCCTTTCTTATTTAGTTTCATCAAAAACTTTCTTATGGAGGTCCCCTTGTCATCACCTGACTTCACGGAGGTTGATCTGATCGCGGGAGGATTTTCGTTAGACCTGGAATACACAGATGACACAGTCCTGTTAGGTGAAGACGCCAACATAATGCAGAGCCCTCTGGACACGTTGAGTGGCAATTCGAGAGTGTTTGGGATGCATTTTTCTTCACTCAAATGCAAATTGTTGCCCCAGGAATGGACTTCAACGGTGCCCCTGCTAACAATAGATGGCGAAGTGGTTGAGCATGTTAAACACTACTTACCTGGGAAGTCAGGTTACCCCTGGTGGCTCAGTGGCCGACGAAATCTCTGCATAGATACAAAAAGTTGGATTGGCTTTCGCCAGCTTACACCATCTGTGGTACTGCCATGATATTCGATTGTCTATTGGGGTCGAATGTAATGTGTTACAGTCTTCTCTGTTCTGCCGTATGGCTATAAAACAAGGCCTTTGAAGGTGGAAGACATGAGAAGGTTTCAAGTGTTTGTCCACAGTTGTCTTCGTAGAATAGGCCGTGTTTCGTGGTGTCACCACATGAGTAACACAGAAGTCAGGTATAGAGTTGTCGGGATGAGAAGAAAGTCAGCTGATGATGTGAACCCTGATCGACTTCGATGTCTGGGACATGCGTTACGTTTGCCTAGCCACCGCCTGCCTTATCTCACAGTGTTAGCCGAATTAGGTTCAGGCTGGAAAGACTCGGTGCGGTCAGACTAAAACATGGCATCAATACTTAAAGTCTGGACGTTCATTTGAGCCATGTAGGATGATGCAGACTAGCTGGTTGCGGTCCGTGGGACACGACAAACCAACGACTGGAGACTGTAATTAGTATGGCTCGGAACCGATGTCACTGGTTCAGGTGTGTACACACATTATCCTCATTTCAACCGCTATACTTAGTCTCATCACTTTCAAATTTCCGCTTCCTCCCTTTTAATTCTTTCTACATCTTTTGAGGGGTTTTTCTTTCCTTCTTCGGCTTCCATTTTATCGATTTGTCATTTGCTGTGCAGATATGAAGTGTGGCAACCTAGACCGTTACCCAATAATTCTTGGTCTTATGTTGATCTCGAGGATTGATGATGATGAATCAATTCGAAAGGAAAAGGTATTGGAAAATACGACTGGATTAAACGGGCGACAAAATTATCTAGTCTAGTTTCAAAGGTCATAAAAAAGGAACTGCAAATACGTTACACCCTGTAGTTCTGGGAAACTTTCAGTATTATTTTCCGATTCTTCTCAGCTGTTCACAGCGTGGAAGTTGTTTCTGCAAGATACCTGTGAGGGAAGAGGGGTTAATCTGTGTACTTTCAGAGTCCGTGGCACATTTGCTTCAGATCAGTTACACAAGGCCTTTTAAGAAGTTTGCCATTCATCTTTGACGATTCTACGTCCAGTTATGTGTGCCACACTGCCTGTTATGTGATTCTTTTTACCTAGGAGGCGTTTTTCGTTACTGAGACTCACTTTTCATGAAACTTCCTTTTTATGGTGTGTGATGCATCAGCGTAAACTGCTGTTAGTCTTTGAAATGGCTTCACTGTTGTCACGCGGCGTTCTATTTGTAGTACAATTTACTGCTTGGGACTCTGCATATCGCGAAAGTTCGCAGTGTAATTGTAATTGTTTTTCTTCCTATTAATATTGGACAAGCTTTAGCGGTATGATATAATCTCAGGTTAGAAATTTTCCCAGGAGCATCACTCTTTTGGGTTATTGTGGTACGCAAGCGCGACCTGCACGTCAGCATGTTATTCATTCATCGAATAGGATAAATGATGCATGTATGCTTTTATCTAGGTTTCTGGAGCGCTGTTCAAGTTTTTGGCCTGCTGGTTCTATGTAGAATTTCAATTTTAATAAGCTACAGCTTCATAACAGTTTACAATGTGAAATCTTATTGCTCATCATGAATGAAAGTACTTTTTTGGAGGTTGCGATTCAAGAATTCGAAGGCTTAAAATTTACAGCTTTCTGTTCGCATGGATCACATTTCAACGTCTCAGGGTTGGTGGATATAATAAGGAATGTTCAGCTGTGATGTCTGCTACATTACATATTTGTAGAATTTTCTTTTGATGAGAATCGGTCACATTTAGTTCATTTTTCTGTCGGTTGTAAAGCATTTTATCTATGGCTTCCAAGTACATGTGCAATAGGTTTCTTACTGATTCAACATTTATTGGTAGGAAATGGAGTCAAATATGCAAAATAACACCACCAAAACCAAGCATATTTCTAAGTATCCGATTATTTCATATCATTGCTATTCAGTTAAGGAAAGCATCTGGATCGTTTGCACTAAGTACTGTAAAATTACGTTCAAAATTCGACATTCTGTTTGTAACCTTTTAATTTTAGATTGATAAGTTTAGTTTAGGAAACTTAAATTAGATAAATTTAATTATAGTTTTTCTTTGGCAGTCCTATAAGTAGAGTTATCATGTCTGTTTATATACCAGGAAAAATCCTAATGTAACATCGAAAATCTTTTAGATGTCAAAATTCATCCTGTCTCCTGTGGTACCTGTTGTTAGAATGTGAATTTTCTGTGACTGTTGTTTATCAGCACAAACATTAAAAATACGATTCAGTAATCATAGAGCACGTATTTTGCTCTTATTTTATGTTTTCATCCTATATTTACGTGTTTCATCATTTCCATTTTCAACAGCTCATCTGATGCGGACTAAGGTACTGCCAGTACTATCAATATGAATTAAATTTGGCAACTTAATCTCATCTGTTGCGTTTTTTAAACGGACATACTTTACAATGGCAGATATTTTAATTCAAGAATTTCTTTGAGAATGTTTATTTCATTTTTGTACAAATACAGAGTGAAACACTATTAGAATTATGTAAGATTGTAGAAATGAGTGGCATGGCTTACAGCCAAGCAGTATTCTGAAACAATCCTTTATCATTTCCTGAATTTTAGACGCTTTATTTTCCTTTGCATACTCACTAATTAGTTTTCTAAATCTAGCCTCGATATTTCTTCCTTTTCGTCAGATACTTCTCTATGTTTCTAAAATATAAAAACCTGGATCGTTGCACTTAGCAGATTTTTGACTCCTTCAGTCGGACGTATAAACGTTATTGCGCAGCTGCTTCATCTGATAAGTAGGTTCCCCAAACGCCGTGTACTGAGCACTTTATCATTTCATGCCATTAGTACAAGACATTATCAGGATGCACTTTGAAAATTGTCTCCAAATGGGAAATATTATCTTATGGACGCATATTTTTGTCGTAGGCGCAATGGTTTATGCACGTGAGGTTCAGCTGTTTGGTTGCAACTTCAAAATTCCTTCCATCTTTAATGCTTTAAACAGCCGGATAATGTTGTTAACTTTTATGCAGTGGGTATATCCCGTAACCCAGTTGCCTTGAATTCTCATATTCGCATAATTTCCCTGCTAAGTACAATATTGTAAAAAGTTTGGAACTATACAGCGTAAGATGTGCATTTCCTACTTCCACTTCAAATTATTGTGAATACACTACTCTGTTTTTCTTTTCCTTAAAATGGTTTACATTTCACCCATTACTTTCCTCTTAAAAGGACGTAATTTTCCTGCTCGGCATACACATCATTTAGTATGTGAAGCAAAATTCAATAATGAAGTATTGTCGACTGATCCAGTTCTGCATAATGAAGAACCACAATTTGAACAGGAACTTGCTTGGGATCTGGATAAGACAAGCTTAAAACAGCATCGTTTACAAAGAAGTGCATTAAAAGTAACAGTTTCTGCTGTTGATAGCCAGTCACCAGTCAAAGAACCAATTGGGTTTTTTATGCTGGATTTACGTTCGTGTTCTACTGAAAAGGTGAGATTTTTTTTAATAGGATGGTTGATTTGCAAATTATTTACAAATTGAACAGTTCACTTTAGTATTTATTAAGGTTCAGTGGCTTTTTAACTACCTAGTTGTGGATTCAACAAAGTTTCCGTTGAAAACTATACAACGTAGATCATCAAGTGTGATTACTGATACAAAAGTGTCGTGAACCAGCTAGATATACTATTGAATAAAATTGAGTAGTTAAAAACCAATCGCTTTTGTCTATAGATTTCGATAAGCAGATAACAGTGGATCATTTTCAACGTCAACTCTGTTTACATCACAATCAGATAGTTGAGGAACAACTCACCTTTGGGAAACATCATGGAAGGCTATGGGATTTGTAAGTAATTTCCAAATTGAGTATTCCTAATTAAGGTATATCGTTTCATTGAAATCAGCTATCCAGATTGTGATCTGAACAACTCGAATCTTTTAACCGAACTTTTCCGGGTACATCACTGATGAGCTTGAACTTCAACGAGTGAAATAGCCAGTCGGTGTTTAGGTAACTTGAATTATGCTAGTGAAATGCACTGATCAGCGAGGGTGTTTTCTAGTTACTCATGTTATTGAGTAGTATATTAAGGATTCTCATTTGAATCATTATACTGGTTGCTATTTACATTCTCTTTAAAAGGCATACAAATGGTATCGGCTTCTTCATTGTAAATATCGAAATAGCCCAGCTGTATTTGGTTCAATTTATTTGGATACTGATGGGCAAGAAATTATTCCTAATCCAAAAATAAAAACAGGTAACCAACCTTACTATATTGTCTAATTTATTGATAATTATTATACTGTTAACTTAATATTCGTTAATCCAATGGAATTACAACATTGTGTTGTTCTTGCGTGACTGTGAATGGAATTTCGAGCTTCATTGAGTATTCTTCGTTGAGTAAAGTTTTTCACTATGCTTAGTAAAGTTGTAAGAAATTAGGGTATATCAATTTTTTTTTCAGATTGTTTCTAAGTGTGTAAGATTTTCGCTTCTTAATATCAAAGGTGTTAGTAAGCAGTGGGAATCTTGGCTAAAGTTTTCATATTTTTTAAAACTGGTACTGATTGCTAAGCGTTAAACTAGCTAAATCATAATTTCTAAACCCTGATCCATGTTTTTTTTAAACTCACATGAATAACCTCAGCTTCTACAGCCTAAATAAGCTTAGTATTTGAAGCTTTATTTATGTGATTTGATTATAATTCCATGTTATTTGGAATCTAATCAAAAACGCATGTATTTAGAAGATATCATTCACATTAGAAACATCTCTATGTTGGTTGTTAACCTATGAGACAGTGCGATTTTTTGACTCTACCACTGATTCATTTAAAATGTATAATTCCTTTGTTTTTCTCATGTAATTATTTTGTAATAGTTTATTGGTCTATTTTTTACCTATAATTGCTCTGACTAACTGATTCAGTCAACACAAAATCAGATATAATACTAATGAAAAGTGGGGTAGAAGAGGTTTTTATTGTAAATTTACAGTCAGTAATGATGAAAATATTAAACCTGCAATAAAGCTACAGTAGCAAGTGTTCTCTTTGTTCTTCATCCTAGTATGCAGTGTTCTTTTCGTTCCCATTTCTACTTGAAAAAGTGTCTTCTTTCCCTCTAAATCTTCACCGGTCGATCGCTATTAATTCTTGTATTTTTTTACTATTTACTACCGATATACCTTCTTGTACGTAATGATCACAACAGTACCATTTTCAAATTGTAAAACCGCACAGTGAGGAGAGAATCATAAACTGAAAATGATTTTTGTTTTAATTTTAGATACGAGAGGGTGCATTACATGGAGTTGTCATTATTAAGTAGAAGAAAGCGTATACGTTTATACCATCACAGTCAGCTTTGAGACAAACCGTTTGCCATTACAAACCTCTCGTTTCTATTACTAGGTGAGAAATTAAGAATTCATTACACTGTTAAAGGGTTTAAAGTAGAAAACGACTGGCACTGTAAAAGCAACTTGGATGAAAAGAGAACTAAAATCATCGGTTTTCTTCTGGAACCTATGTTTTATTTCAAATTCAGTCAGGATCCTATTTCATTTAGGTCAGTTTATCAAATGAAACCTATCTCAGCTTAATCAAGTATCGAAGAACTGAAATATATTTAAGGTGGATCACAAATATTAATAAGTGAACTGTTAATGGGTTTAAGTTGTAAGAATTCTTAATGACATGACTGTGAATCAGTCTCAGTGGTGCAAATGCATCCACACGTTATCTTCATCTTGATCACTATGCAAAATTTGACTATTGTTGCATTTCATTTTGTCTCTTTTCATTACTTCCCATCACTTTTGTTTGTTTTGTCCTTTATTCACCTATCTTTCATCTTGATATATTCTCCCTTAACGTGTTGATGGTGTGTGTAGCAACTTAAACCATCACGGAGTAATGGTACATCCGATGTTGTTACTAACTGACCGTAGAGATACAAGTTTTATCACAGCAGATCGTTATATGATAGCAGATCGATTACATAATATCATATATCTGTTATAAAAACCTACCATCTATTCATGAAGTAGCACATACGACACCTGTTAGGAATCAAGGGGGAAATTACGTGGTTTTTAGTTACTTATGACGCACCGATGCCTCGAAATATGAATGAAACTAGGTTTGACAAAATCTTTATTGTAACGTATGGATAATATCGAAGATGAAACGAAAACCAAGGTCACTGCAGGATTTGAACCATCGATATCTGGTTCGCAGCTGACTCGAAGCTTAATCGATAGCGTGCCGTGTGGGTATAGCACTGGTGCTGTTTTTTTGAAATTCGCACCGATGTAGATTTTCATTTCACCTTCAGGCATCATCCAGTATCTCAGTTAGTCAGCTGGATTGGTAATACTTGACGAAAAGTTCAAGATAGCAAAAACCTGAAGGATGTTATGCTACCATCTAGTAAAACGTAGTGTAAAAAGGAAAAAAAGAGGAGATCTGCAACTACGAAGCACCAGGTAAATGACGTGGCAATGAAAAAGATACTTATCGCTTACCAAGTTTTCTTTCTTTGTGGATAAGTTATTCGAATGTAAATATTCTTTGATTTCACGCCTACCTTAAAGTCTATATCAGACTTAATAGTGTAAAGTGTTTTCTCAGTGCTCGACAAATTCGATGCATCGCATTTCTACTAGAATAATTTTATAATATAGAGATAAAGTTTTTATTTCAGTAGCTGGAACATACTTAAATCAACCACTGGATCATGATATCAGATGTACATGGTGAAATCCTGTTCTGGAGCAATAATTGATTCCATAGAGTGATGATGGAATCATAGCCGGTTGGAAATCTGAATGTGGATGGTGTCGTATGGTCGCGTGATATGTGATCATGAGAACAGATGTATTGGGCGCCTAATTGCTCTAGATTTATAATTCTCTTCAAAATCCAAAGCTAAGTAATGGTGAAAAAGATAGACTAATTGATCACATCGTATCTAGGAATTTCTTTTCAGAAATTTGAAACTAAATGACCAATTGATAATTCGATTGATAAACCGAATGCTCTAGCGACGCATAAAATCGTAGTCAAAGGATTTGTCTGAAGTATGTTACTGTATTAATAAACTTCTAGGGTTAATAAACTACAAGCCTGAAGTCGTGCGGTTTCAGTGAGCTTACCGTCATCAAAAACACTTTATCGGAAATGTATCAACGTTATAAAGACAGCAAAGCTGAATCTAAAACAAACCACAATGCAAAATATCAAAATGTGCAGATTCTCTGGATAAGGTAAAAGGCATAAAAGAAATAATTGAAGTGAGCTTAATATAATGATAAAATAGGGAAGGTACCAATACTGTAGAATGTTATAATGATGAACAAGGTGTAAGATAAAATAACATTGTTGGAGTAAATGAATTATACTACTGAATAGTAGTAAATAGTTCAAAACTGGATGCATAGAAAGGATACAAGAGTAGGATCAAAATATAATCAAAAAAAACTGTAGCTCATGTACGATGGATGAAACTAAAAACAACGCGAATAGAAATCATATTATATACAGGGCGAAATGCTCGACCTCTGTTGGCAGATTGGCTTGTATGTGGATGCCTCGATACTGTCAGGTATTCATGGTGTTATATTAATTTTGTTGACCAGCAGAGGAATCTAGTACGCGCGTTTCGTCCTGTTTGGGACTCATCAGCTGGACGTACCTGCACTCCAGTGAGTGATGTTGTTCCCACTGAGGTTCGAACCCAGTCCACATCAGTGACTAGGGTACAGATAAATCCAGCTGACGAATCTCAAATTGGATGAAACGCGCGTCCTGGATTCCTCTGCTAGTTACCAAGATCAATGTAGAAACCATATAACTTGAAATAAACGGTTAATGAAGCGCAAAATAAAGATCGAACAATGGCTGATGACTTCTTATCCATCGATGTAGGGGATAATAGCAGACAGTCAGATTAACCATTCTTTTACGTGTTCGAACCATCGTCTAAGCTATCTACTCTGCGAGTTTTTCATTGAAGTGTTAGTTATCGTGATTCTGAAATACATTGAACTTTAAATTTATTTCACCTGACAGTGAAGGTATGGTGTGGTAGCATCGACCTCAGTGTGATTAAGTTCACATTGAACAAATATGATTCCATAGGTTAGTGTCATCGCCAGTAAGCTACTTTTGAACTATTTTTAAAGTCTTATAATTATTTCCACTTAAATTATCTTTATTAATTTTGTGAATTTCACAGGTTTAGCTATGAGTTTATCGAAGAATGATTTAATACCTCGTGTTTATAATTCAGAAGATGAAGATAATAACTTATCAGAAAAAACAACAAAATTAACAGATGTCACCTGGTATACAATCGGTCCAAGGTGCATAGCCAAAGAAAACTTTATTTTAACATTTCGTTTTGAAGAAGCTTTCAAATTAGCCTCATTAATACCAACTGAACAAAGCCTGTGTACAGGTGAACAGATTGGTGGATTTCATTTCACATGTGAAATTTTCAATGTGCCAATTTACTCAAAACAGTTTGATCAACTTACGCAAATAAAATTAACCTCTGAGGAGTACAATTTTTATGTTAAGTAAGTTATAGGTGAGAAAACAATAAAGAAGAACAGGTTTTTTTTTCTGTCAGTTTTTGAAATCAGATTTCTGTTACATTCTGACTTCTACAGAAATTAAAGCACAAGCAACATAGAGGCCAGGATTACTGCACAACTGTCGAAGTTGTCAGGAAATTCAAAAGAGTTGAGTGAATGTCTCTGACAGATAATTCTTAGATGTTATCTAGATTTAATGAGTATCGCAAAATGTAATGCAATTATATGCATGACATTTTCATCTTTTTGTAATATAAATCTGATTAGAGGAAATTCTATACATGATTTGTTTAAATGACATATATATGTCGCGAAATTTTTGCTAATATTTAACTATCAGAATGAATTTTGATACTAATGATGGTTGATGGCTAGCAGTGGAATCCAAAGCGCCCCATGTACCAACAGAGATCGATCAATTTAGCCCAACCAACAACGGTATAACACAAGCAAAATCACATCGAAATAAGTGCCGAAACAACTCAGTAATCGCGTATGCGTTCGGATCATAAGTTACGAATCACATCGAAACACCACCGAATGAGACATGAATGACTTCCAAACTTTTTCTGATATGTCTCGTTGTTAATGCTGACTTTGATCTGAAACAAAGGGTGAATATATATCTTGGCCACGAATTCTACACTACTTGAGGTCTGTTGGCTGGATGTAACCACACCTTAGAGAATGATGGTATTCTCATCTAGGCGGAGATTCAGCACCACAGCGCTAACCACCAGACGAAAGTTACCTCTTGTGCAATATGTATAGTTTGGTACTATGACTTCTCATTCCTCGTTGTTAGTTGTTTTTTACCGAATTGATTGTCCTACGTTAGCATATAGACTGCTGAGTAGATGCCTTGATATAATGGATGATTTGATGTCGATATTAAGGATGAAAGGATAATCGAAAATTTGACAAGTGATTTATTTTAAACGATGGTATAGCATAAATCTTGCTTTCCTAGGTTTGATTTCCGTAACTCTTAATAGTATTAGACAGAATACTTATGCATTATTGTGCGTCAAAGTGTTTCTGGGTGTACAGTGGCTATTCGCTAGTTCATAAACCTATCAGTCAGAAGTCCTATGTAGAGTATTATCCGGTCTTTCAATTAGCAATAGGTTGTTGAACCTTGTGCTTCGATTTTCAACAAGTGCAGTTACTCTTACAGCATAAATGGAAGCGGTATAAAGCATCCCAAACCAAGCTAATAAATCTACTGCCATTTAGTCATTTTCACATTTATTCTACTTTGTAGTCAGTCACAAAATCTATGATGCAGTTGAAAGTATAAATTTTGATTTGCGGTTTGAAGGGTTCGAAGATTTGTTGAACAGGGCAGCAAACATTCGTGTATCTCAGTCATTCAAAAGATACCTGTTCTATATAATATGAGTTTTCTTATTCCTGGGAGTAATCAGTTCTCAGAAACGTCGAAGCCAAGTATTAGAAAAAGGCATAAAATTATCTTGGTTGCATAAGTGTCAGTGTGCCTTTGAGAAGATTAATGCGAAATTATCTTCCAACCTGCTGCCTGTACATTACAAATGACAAATGAAAATTGTTGTGGCTGATACATCTAATTACGGTGTTGGTGCAATAAGCTTTTAGGCATTTTCAAATGGTATTGGATAACTAATTGTATACGCATCGAAAACTCCCATAGCTAGTGAATGCAACCATAGTTAAGTTAAAAAACAAGGTCTTGCATTGGTATTCACAGTCGAAATTGACACGAAAAATATTTCATAGCTACAGTTTTACTTAGCCTCTACGGTCAGATTTTGGCTCTGAGAGAAGAATTTCAGTTTCTACCGCGAAGCGCCTTGAGATATGGAAAATTATTCTGCTAGGTTACAATTTCACTTTTCGCAGGTTAATACACTTTCATACCCGCTTATAAGTCACAACGTAGAAAATGAAAATGCAGTGATTCCTGTTGTTTTTCCTGTAAATAATATGAAAAATAAAAGCTCTAAAAAAGCTATCACTTCCACATCTTTATCAACTAGTTATTATGACGATGTCACCACCATGAGTAGTTACCTTGCTCTGGTTGCCCGAAACCTGAACAGTTATCAGTGTGGAACCTTTAGTGGTTCATACTCATCTAGTTTTCGGTTCTAAAAGTGGCGGGAATGCATTACTCTACCAAATAAATTCATGTCACCGGGGGATTATTAGAGTGAAGTCACTTGTTTGAAGCTATGTTTATTGGCTTCATTTAAATAGTGAAGTGGAGCATATTAGCCATAGTTGTGTTTTAGGTGTGCAGTAGCTGTTACGTTCCTGGTCACTGCAGAATTATAGTCACGACCTATCCTAGAACATGTAGGGTCAATAGTTCATACCGATTTTGTCAGTCCATTTCAAAAAGATATTCTACTGATAACTGATGCATTTTAAAAAGTTGTCACAAGTTTTTGTTACGGCGAAAATTTTTGCCACAACTGCAATTTGAAAACTGAGAAAAGCATCTTGTCGTTTTGGACTGCCAGAAGTAATTGTCACAGATAATAGAACTTAGCTTACATAAAGCTTTTTGCATCTCCTGTCAATACAATATCTGCCAGAATATCCAGATTGTACCGTATCATCTTCAGTCAAATGGTCGAGTAAAAGAGATTGTTGATACATTTACAAGAGCCGTTCTGAGTTAAAGGAAAGGAATGATATAAGAAAAGTGCTGGAGTGATTCCTTTTGAGTTGTCGGTGAACACTGCTGCATCGAAGAGAATTCATTGTCAACTGCTGAAGACGTATTTTAGCAGGAAACTCCTATTATTTTGAGTGGTTCGGCCGCATCAAAAAACTCGACGGTTCAATTGATGCAAGCAAGCATGTTGAAAGAAACATAGCCATGGATATTTTGTATGAAGAAATGAATGTAAAGGAGTTATGTGAACAATAATTGAATGTTTGAGTCGTAGACCAAACAAGAGATTCCATAGAGTTAAACTGACCACGAAATGTTTCCAAGTATTCTCCCGGTTGAAGACTTATTATAGTTAACGTAGCTGAAAAGGTAAGGCGTAAGGATAGATGGAACCTCGATATTCTGACTAACGGATTAGCTTAAACACGGCGTTAAATAAATTTTAGCTTCCTAGTCTTGACTTTTATGAACTTCAGTAGTATTCAAGAGAAGGGTTATTCGCTATTGTGTTCCAGTGTTTGTAGTTATTCAAAGGCAGTCCAATAATTCCTCAACCCATCATCTAAGAGGAATTCTAAGTCAGGTATTATTCAGTAACTGCAATATATATGCTGACACAACCGCGGGAGAAGCTTTAGATACAATGATAGGTGAAATCGACGGGATTTTATTTCTTAATGTACTGGTGCTATGTAAAATGCTAGCGACTATTTCGTGTATGCTGATAGTATCTTTTGCGTATGCATCATGCAATTTAGATAAATTATGTTTTGTCGAACTTCATGAACAGGATTCATTGTTTCAGTTACCTTGTTTCTCATTTGAGGTCTAATTCTTACCCATAGTATTTAGGTTCATTTGATGTTTTAGAAAAAGAAACAAATCTATTTGTTTGATTTCTTCGCCAATCATCACTCTGTTGTGTGTTGTTTATAACTAATGTGATTGGTATAAATGAGGAAGAGTTTTACTGTTTCGGGTTGGAGAATTGTGAGATAAAGTAGACTACTTACTTCTTGAAGTCTATGGTTTGGAAACTGTGAGCTTAACTGGCTGCATTTTATACCTTATCAGAGATCATCAAAAAAGTGGTATAAATACTAAAATTGAAGAAACATGTACTAGTGACAAGAATTTCATGAAAAATTCCAGGTAGCCTCAATTTAGGTGACTTCATATAGATTTACATATGTAACAGTAATGTATCTCACAAAGAATTTACTTAACCGGTTGTATTCAGCAGCGTGATATGGATCAATCTCCACTTCATTTTAGACACACGCATACAAAAGTCCTCTACACCTACTTGATATTCCAAGTTCTTTAGGCATAGAGACAAGAAAATGCAGATAGTTTTTCTTATTAAGAGAATTCCTAGCTAAACAGTCAACGATAGTTTTTTTTCACAGAGATCTGTGCTGTTAATGAATGATGACTACGTTTATGAAAAAGTTAACTGCAACTGATCTCAAACCAGTGGCTGCAGAGTATCAAGTTCAGTATTATCTCACCCACTTAGCTATTACTTCAGTCCCGAAGTATTGACCTACGGCTGCATAAATGAGTGACATCCAACCAGATATTCTCATCTTTCCTATGCAAATTGGTTAAAATTGCACTATCTAAAGAACTCACTAATGAGATAGCCACTTTAAGTATGTGACTAACTGGCTGATAATTAGAATATATCAGATAACCATAGTTGCAAGATCGTTTTGTCATACAATGACAAAAAAACCAATGAGTGAATGATTGGATTACAACACAGGTCGAAATAAACACCACTGAGTCCAATTTTTAGCATGTATACGGTAAATACTATCATTTGGTAGAGACTATAATTGATAAAGTACACCTCAATAAGCATCTAAATATTCGATATACCTTTGTGAATTCTGGTCTACAGTTTCATAGGTAGTTATACAAGTTGGCTAGTGAAACCATGTTGGTTGGACAAAAGTCCAGACCTGCAACTAAATGATTGAATTCTTTTCCTAACCCGCTGCGGTACAGTTATTATGTAATATTAGGTCAAACAGTACCCTCAAGAATTACGTCACAGAAGTGACAGGTGGGAAGACTAAACAGATAATGTATTAGCATCATTCCTGATTCTTATGATATATTTCTTGAACAATGTTTAACACAAGATTTTTAGTGATTCCACTACTGATGATAAACTGTATGGGACACTCCCTTTTTCTTCTTCTCAGGTCCACAGTCGATATTCTACGAATTTATTTTGTTCATGTCACTCCATTAGTTATCAAATTTTGTTTTGGCAATGTTGTATTGGCGCAAGCTTTTATCCCAGTCGAACAGTTATTACCAATCAATGATCATTCCCTATCGAATCCTGCTGTACTTAGTGGAAGTTTTGATGTAAGATTCAATATATTTTTTTGCTGCACGTGATTTTTTCTACACTGAGTGATGATTGGAGGTGAAGTTTAAACCCCAGTTTTAGCAGTATTCAAACTGACAGCCTCTGGATTACCAGTTCACTAGTTTGAATCCTGCGGTGATTCAGGTTATCATTTCACCTTCAATCATCACCCAGTATCAAGAATACCAGTTTACCTAACCACGGCTTTCTCAGTAAACTTTTTCGAAGTATTCGAATAAGTTACAATGCTTTAAAATGCTTATTCTGTCCATGCGTTATGTAGGTCCTTCTGAAGCAGTTAAATGGATAGAATATTATTACCTAACTATCAGCGGTTTGTTTGAATTCCCTTAACATTGACATTTGAGTTTATAGACTTTTGCGATGTTTACGAATTTTTAATGGGAAGTGATATTTCTTGTGTGAATTAACGACATTTTTATACAGATAGACCAAAGCGACCTGAAAGCAAAAACCATTTAGCGTTACCTAGTTTTCAGTGGTTCTACAGTTGATGTCAGTCCGTGATAGATGATGCCTTTAAGACCCCCAAAACCCAGCTCTTGAAAAGCTAAGCAGTTCAAAAAAAAACTCTCTGTGTATAGGGTTTTGTAATTATCGTTCATATGATTGATCTACAGCATTGTTGAGTGTTAGTGTGCCAGAAGTCAAGTGAAGTCATTCAAATTCACTGCATATTTCTTAAATGAGATTAAATTTCTACACTGGATGTACAGTTGGACGAGTCCATCATCGAGTTGTCGAGGATCATCCATCATAGTTGGGCGAATGTCAAAGAAGATCATTTTGAACCTCAATATTCTCTCATCTACTTGACAATGACCATATAGTTGATATTGGTAACACTTTGAACTTGTTCATCATACTCCTTCTAATCTCATCTCACCCATGCTATGCAAATTGGTCGGATTGTTCGACCTCGATCCAATAAAACAACGGAGAATTACAAGTATATCAATAAATAGTTATAACTTACTACCCGTTGTACAAGAAGTGGCTATCGTTCCTCCGTGGCATAGTGGATAATGCCTTGGCGTTTGAAACGATGGGTACGAGATTCGAGTCTCAGTGGGAACAACATTACTCACTGAGGTGCAGGTACATCTGGATGACGAGTCTTAAATAGGACGGAACGCGTATCCTGGATTCTTCTGCTAGCCACAAGCAACCAAATTACCATAATTAACATCCAGGCAATATTGAAGCATCCAAATAGGAGCCCATATGCCAGTAGAGGTCGAAAAATTCGATCCAATAAAACAACGGAGAATTACAAGTATATCAATAGATAGCAATATACTACAACCTGTTTAAGATTTCACTACTTACCAATCTGATACTTTAGATGTTCTCTTTTCTAGAACTTACCTGTGTTCTAAGGATATTACTGTCTGAGTACGGTAGGGAATCCTTGCAACTTTTAGATTGGAATTCTCCATAGACTGACATCGATTGAAGGAACATTAGAAACCTGGGAGCACTGGACAGCTGTATGAGACTCCTCAGCAGTACACACCCATGATCCTGCCTCACCAGGGATCGAACCCAGGACCTTCAGATCCCGTGGCCACCACGTTACCATTGAGCCACTGGGTAGGAGTCCAACTGTCCATATTTACAACTTCTGTCAGTTCAATGGTGGATTTCAACTTAAAATCTATTAATAAATTTCCACAAACTTCCAGATAGAAATCTTTCAACTTTTGTTTTAAATTTTTATTACCTTTGATGAAGAGTAACTTATGGCTTATATTCGCGCAAATTAACATCTTAAGATTGTTTTTTGTGACGTGTAATATCGACTGGAGTACATTTAGGTTAGGGAAAGTCAAATTAAAATGCAACACCAACTCACAAAGTCATTGAGTTATGTTAGGAATTGTATATTATTTTCTATGATCATGTATATGCTTAAAATTTGTTGATATAGACCCTAAATGATATGCTTTTAACTCAAATGTGTTTACTCACTGTATTATTCCTCACAATTATGAACATCGTGCTCTTATCAATTGATCTATTTATCACTCCAGTCACGTTCGTCTGGCACTTCTGTGTAACATTTCTCTGCCTTCACTAGTTTTCTCTTCTCGCTTTTTTCTCTCTCTCGATGGCAAATTAAGTTCGCATACTTTTGTGTATAGGCTTCTATTTCGTCTCACTTTTTTGCTGACTGCTTGGTTATCTGCAAAGTTTATAACCTTTGCATTAGGATCTAAAGTTAATACATTTCACCCAGTCAAAATTAATTGGATTACTGTTTGATGATTTGAGTTTCCACACGTTTTATCAATTAGATTAGGGAAGAAGGAACCAAGATGTAAGGTTAAAGAAGTAAGAAGAAAAGAAATCAAAATTTGTGGAAAGTAGCAAAAAGAGAAACGGATCCAACAAAACAATACTCAAATCCCGTATAACCATCAAGATAAAGATAGTATGTGGTTGTATCCACACCACTGAGATGGATTCTTGGTCATATAATCAAGAATCTCTAAACCATTGATTTCAGGTTTTTTTTCGTCTCCAACCGTGAAGTCCACATTTCCCTACATGACTCAAACTTCATGCACTGATGCTATTTTTCAGTGTGGCCACCTCTTACCTTTTTCCAGCGTGTAGCCAATTCAACTAATATGATACCACATAGTTGATGGAAACTGGGTATGTGTAAAACATATCCCAGTCAACTGAGTTGATGAACGTTTACAACTTGATCAACTGACGCTCCTCTTTTACTTAGAACTCTACGCCTGACTTTCGCTTTGCTGATGTGGTGGTGCCATGAGGCATGCCCTATGCTACGAAGGCAGCATTAGCTGGACACCTGAAGTCTTCTCATGTCTTCTGCCTTTAGTGGTCATATTTTATGACCGTAAAATCGAAGAAGGTAAACTACAGTTGGTAAAAGTCACTCAAGCCTTTTGTATCCGTGCAGAGATTTCTTGAACACACCCAATCATATCACCGTCTATTGCTGACTGACCGCCAACGCAGAGCCGACGTAGGGCAACAATTTTCATTTGAGTGGTGAGAAATGCAGCCCGAACATCCTAAAGTCGCCACTTAAGGTGTCCAGAAGACTGTTCAACTTATTAACATTTTCAATTATTATTACTGTCATCTGCGTACTCTGAGTGTGTTAAGAAATATCCTGTAACAAAATCAACCCCTGTGAAGTCAAATGTTTATAATATTCGGTGATTGGAAAATTGTAGAGTCCTGTAAAATGAAGTAAATTTAATCGACGATTTAAAAAGATTGTTTTTTTTCGAAAAGATGGTTTTTGCATTGGTGATGTAAACAATTTCACTTCATGAAAATTTTTTCATGCATAATTTCTATCTATCTTATTCAGCTTATCTCGGTAGAATCCAGCCATAATTCGACAGAATATCAAAGTAAACATAATGAAGACAAACCACGTATAAGTATCAGTGTAACACTTCGACAGTATTCTGAGCGGACCACAATACAATCACAAGGGATATTATATAATAATAATTATAGTAGTAGAAAATGTTATAATCCGCCACAATTAAAGCATATCACAAATCCAATGAATGATATTCCATCAGTCAATATTTATTCACATAATAAATTGAATACAGTGAATTCAAATTCAGGTGAACAGTATGGCGGTAGGTTAGCTATAATTATTTTGATTTCATATTAATGATAATCGCATTGTCTTACAGGTGATCAGGTCAAGAATTCTTCATCAGAAGTAAGTAATCAATGTATTTTGTACTACTGTTATTTTGAACAAATGATACACTTAAAAAGTATAGTTTTATAGACTTCTTATTTCTAAATTTTTTTATGGTTGTTGAAAATAATTGCTTGCTTCATTATTTGCTGGTGTATGTTGGCTTATTTGTAGAGTATTCCGACTCAGATTGCAAACTATGCATAAGTTTTCATATTGAAGTCAGTAGTAATGAATTCAGTAATTACATACATGGAAAAAGATGAGAAGCTAATAACCTCCCAGGACAGGTGAATGGAACGTTTGGCAGAACACTTTAAGGCATTGTTCAACTAGTCCGCAACAACACTTCAGTTGCCCAACATCCAACCTGAACCTGAATTAGGGCTTAGATGTCGGTTCTCCAACTCTCCTTGAAGTAGAGAAAGCTGTATCGAACTTGAGATGATGGAAAGCACCTGAACCTGATACTTTGCCACCCGACGTCTTTATGCATGGATGTAGGAATAAACCAATTAGAGTGGCGGAGGTACTAGACAGTGAGTGTGTGGGAATCAGAGATAATGTCGTCATACTGGTGTACCTCACTGATCATTTCAGTCTATAAGAAGGGATAAAAACCTTCTTGTGACAACCATAGGGGAATTCGTTTAACTAATATAGTGTCAAAGATTCTAGGGTCCATAGTTGGGCGACACCTAAGTGGAGCTCGAGAACAGCGAACTGGAGAAGACCAGACAGTTTTCAGGCAGATCTGATGAGGGTGTGTCGATCATATTTTCATCCTCCGATAGGTTCTGGAACACCGGCATGCCTACCGGTCAGTAGTTGACGCCGTCCACATTTGTTGACATGAAGGCAAGCGTTATTTGACTCTGTCGATCGTGAGGTATTGTGACAGTGTCTGACTGTGAGAGTAGTAGCGAACAACTACATAATGCTTATCACAGCTCTCTATTGGAACTCACGCAGCCGTGTTCAGACTTACAGAGAGTTGTCATATGAGTTGACGACAACTCGTATTGTCTGCGGTGGATGTTCAATGTCACCGTTCCTATTTACTTCGTTGTAGATGTGCTGATGGGCATAGTCTTATACAGATGTGACTTCACAGGGACTGATCTGCTCCCTGGAGGTGATCTGGTTGATTTGGAGTATGCCGACGATGTTGTTTTGCATGGCGGAGATGCTGTCTCAATGTGGGGCCTTTTGGACACTGGATAGAAATCTGAGTATGTTTGGCATGCCTTTTTGCTGGCAGTTGTCAAATATGAGATGATGTTCCAGGACTGATCTGCAATTACTCCCAGTTTAATGATCGGGAGTGGAGTGGTGGAGTGTGTCGACCATTTCACTTACTTGTGGATTTGCACCAACTCTGTGTTGGGTGGTTGTTGAGCTGGGATACAGAATTCTGGTTTTGGATTTTCCAACTTGGGTTATTTGTATTTCTGACTGACTAGATATCCGACTGTCGATGAAAGGTCGAGTGTACAGCTCTGCAGTTCTTTTTCTGAGGTTGTGTGGCATGACGATTGAAAGTAGAAGACATGAAGTGGTTACTGGGTTTCGATCATAGATGTTTTCGTATCATTGTTGGTGTTTGATGTGATCAGTGTGTCAGCAATGTTGAGTTCATGCGAAGTATGATAGACAAGAGAGGTAAGTCGATTTATGGTGTTGTGAACCTTAGTCTACTGATATGGCTCGGACATGTACGATGCATGCTGAGTCCCGGCCTATTTCGACGTGCCATGGTAGGGGAAGTTGTATTATGTTGAGAGAGGATTCAGGTTGGCCGGACGAAGATGTGACACTAGTCTGTGAATTGTTTTACTGTTGGTGTGAGTCGAGTGGGGAGAGACAGACTACGAGGTTCTGGTTCTTGTGACGATAGGAATGATTGGTTTAGAACTCTGTGATATAGCTGAAAGTAGATGGCAGCGGCACGGATGTATTGACTCTGTGACATTTTCTAACGCTTGAATATTTGTACTAACGGTTATTTTCAAATTGTTGATTGTCTCACTAAACTTTGTGTATTTTGATATTACTCTTTTTCTATCCACCTGTTGTTTGTATACTACTGTGAAGTGTGGCAGCTTGAGCCAACGCACTTGTGTGTCAGGTTCTACATTGATTCTGTCAGTCACTGTTGCATGAGAGTTAATAATACTACCCTACTTTTCAAAACTTCTCAGGTGAGATGTGGCTACTCCGAAGTAGGTAAAGCAGCATTTCATTCGTGGACTTGTTGTTTGAAAGCCAACTGTTTCTGATAAACTCTAGTTCTCAGTTTTGAATACCTTTTATGTATAGAGACATTTTGTCAAATTGTTCCATATGATTTTTTGATATGCATCCCCCTGAACTGATTGACCTTGATTTTTTTATGTTTACATTTGGTCTCGAACTTATTGTTTTTTTTTCAGAAACACTATCAAACTACTTAAAAATTCTATCACATTTCACAATAATGGTAGTTTTCCTGTTTTCATCTTTCTTGCCATTTCTTTTACGCTCCACAGTGTGTTTGATTTAGAAGGTGGTTGGCTTTTCACTTAATCACTAATTACCATCTTTGATACACACACACTTGAAGTTTTGGTAAATGATTTGCTACCCATAGTTACACTTAGGTATTCAAATAAAGCTGTGCTTGTTACAATCTTTCCTGTGGAAGGAATGATGGACTCAAGATTCAGGCAGTCAAATATATGTAGTCATTTTATGTTGTTTACCTTCAACGGATATGTCTTAGGTTGGTATAAAAGAATAAGTCACGCTACAAATCTGACTATATGTACCATATCACAACGCATCCGGTATATGTTGGTCTAACGCATGATATTTCAATAGCTACATCACATTAGTGGCTAACATAAACGGTCAAATAGACGAAATGAATTGCTAGTTTGGTCTTTATTATTCCTTTTACTGAACTAAATACTGGTGCAAATCAATTCTGAGGTACCTTCATATCTTCCGCAGGAGAAAAAGACACTGATTACTCTGATACTTCTCTCCCGAACGTTCATAACAGAAATGCCTTGCACCACAGTTTATATCTACTGGACCTGTATCCCGATTCCTAGCTGCTACCTTGAAGTGACCGTCCGACTTTCATATTACAATGACCCAGCGAGCCACTCTAAGTGAAAGGCTTGTTCCTTCCTATCCTACAATACCAGAGAGGTCTGTTGAATAGTGGTAAGGCTGAAGGCAGTTACGGTCATAATGCAGATAGCTACGCTATGCTCGAAGGTGAAGTTGTGATGTTGTCTGGATGGGGTGTGGTAGCAGTAAAATTTTACCTGCGGAAGACCAGCAGTATCATGTCGATGCTGCATTCTCCATGAGAAGTAGATGATACCGAAGGTCGTTCCCAGAAGTAGTAGACTTCTCTTTACCCTGTGGTTTTCCGTTCTCGACAATATTGGTTTTCTAGCTTTATTTAATTTAATTTACATTTCAAGCTCCCCGAAAGGCTGTATGAAACCGATCTCAACGGGGTATGCATTGAGTTCTATGTTCACGCAAAACTAATCACTTTTCTTTTTCATTTAGTTTGCAGGGACAACTACGATATGGGCAGCTGGAAAGTGCCGATTGCCCACACGTTTCTGGCAGCATACCAAAACTATATTGTCTTAGCCTATCGTCAATATGACGATCGATTTGCATATTATTTACAGGTTGCATGTTCACGTTGATAATTTTCACAGCTGAGCGGTTTTTCAGCTGTTCAAGTGTGATGTCAACAGGGTTTCCGCTGCAAACCACCTAGTCGAGACCACATCTTATCTTCTTACTTTCGTTCATTTTCTGTTACCAACATTAGGCCCCTAGTAGTTTCATCAACTTCCCATTCAACAGTAATCGCTAACGATCCAGGTCATCGAAATACCATTCCTAGTCTCCTCAAGCCACTTTGCCAATATCATATTGGAGATTTTAATGAACAAATCATATGCCGTATCGAACAACAGACTTCTCTTGCCAAAATTCTGATGTCTGGAGTCATAAATGCATACAGTGTTTCTGGAACACGCATGAGGAACTCATCTGTGATGATTTGCATGGCTTCCACTAACAATGTGATGGATCTGCTTAATACTTTCTAGGAGTGTTTGAAGACTCAATACTGCAGTGTTATCACTGGCATAGGTATAACAGAAAAAATACTTTTGGACTTCATACCAGCCAACAGCCCTATATGTGCTTTCCAACTGGATGGATCCGTAATAACTGGAAGCGATCGTGACACTCGTCATTGTCTATTGATAATCTTCACCGACACGGTCACTGATGACAGTATGAATGATCCAAGTGATGGGTTCTATTAAAAGCTTTCAATGTTACTGCATAAATCTAAGCCTTTGAATATAGTCATGGTGACATGTTACTTCAACGCTCAAATAGAAAAGCTGAGTCGATTGGAAAGGCATTTAGAAGGTACCTACCGTATCCCATGCCAATGACTCGACAACGGCGATCATCGTTTACATTTTTGTTACGACAATCGTTTGTTCCCGGTGTCAGCACTGGCTTCAAGCTTACAAATAGATAGTGTATTACTTAGTGTCCGTGGGCAACAAATCGATGATGGATATTGATAAATTATATCTCTATATACCTTCACTGGAAGCGATGAGAGGAAGATTGCCATACAATCTGAAGTACCTGTTTGGACTTGGTTCGAGCGTTAGTACGGACACGTGTATGTCTGTGTCATATGCTCGTCGCAGAAAACAGCCTGTCTGTTTTTACTCGATTGCAAGATGGGAACAACAAGTAAGTACTTAGGGAGGAGATAACCCAGTTCTTATCTGAACACGGCATCAATTCTCTTCCCAATGAAACCTGGCAAAGTATTTGGTCAACTGTAGAAACAACTATACTGATAGTTGATAACCTGTATCCAAAAGTTGGCAAAAACCAGCAGTTTTCTACAATCTCATCCGAACTGTTTGGTGCAAGAAGACTCATTTCAGTTGGCTCTGACAACGATGAAAAGCTGAAGCAGTCTAGACTAAGCGTCTGCGCAATGACCCCGAGACGTGATAGATGACGGAAGTGAAAGGAATGGAGATGGCTTCATCATTAGGTAATGCTCGACAGTTATTTAGCCTTGTTAAGGATACTGGCAAGAAGCAGATGAGGATCACTGATACCATTGCTTATAAGGATGGGTAGGTGATAACAGTTCAGGACATACGACTAGAACATCGGACGGAACACTTTAAAGAAAAGTTGAACTAGTCTACAGCCACGAGCGATTCTATCTACTCGGACTCATATAGTTTTATGATGCCTGGTGGGAAGTTGTTGTCTGAAGTTATGATGACCTCTGATGTTTGTTAAGAACGCTCATAATCACTATTCTTGTTTAACTGAGTTATAAATTTGCCAATGGATATAACCCTAGGTACTTCCAATTTCCCAGACATTGACTTACTTCTAAGAAGCCATCTAGTTGACTGGAGATACGCAGATGAAGTAGTCCACTGAAGCGGAGACGCTGATAAAATGCAGTCCTCTGAACCAATTGCGCATAAATCTGCGTGATTTCGGAATGTGTTTTGCACGTATCAAATGTGAAATAATGCTAGAAGACTGGTTTGCAGCGACTAGGATTGAGAATGCGGAGTGAATTGTTGGAATGGTGTGATTGATGACAAAATCTCTACTCGGATACAAAAGGATCATTTCTTACTTGCTAAATCATGTCTTTTCTGGCACCAACAAGACTTTCGACTCATCAACATCACCATAGGACCAGGCATTACCGCAAAACAGTCCATGTTACAGAAAAGTTTAGCTACATATCAAGAAATATGTATACTATGCTGCAGGTCACTCTGTTCTGCCATACCGTTATGAGACATGGCTGTCGACTACAGAATACATGAGTTTACAGGTTTCTGGCAATAGATATCTTTGTAATATTATTTGTATGTGAAAAACCATTGTTTAAGCGATGATATAGTCATGCGGAGGGTAATGGACAAGTCAGGGTAGTCAGCCAATGAAGTCGTGAACCTTCACTGACTGAGGTGGCTCGAATATATTTTTCACATGCCCAATCACCACCTACCTTGATTTTTGATTTTAGCCAAAGTGGGATTGGGTTGAGAAAAGGCTCAGGGTGGGAAGATCATGTCGCAGCATCAATTAGTGAAGTATTTGACTTTTGTTCTGAGCAATGTAGCATGGTGTAAATTGCCTGGTTGAATTCATCGTGACATGGCTGAAAATTGGTCTCAGTGGCGCATATGTATTCACTCTTTGACATCTTTAAAATTTTGAACGTTTTCACCAATCTTCATTTTACAAATTCTCTCCCTGCTTATACATTTTTGTCTACTTTATTATCAATTTTCCTATGTACTTGTTCTTTGCATACTAGTGTTAAATATAACAATTTGAACAGCTTACTTTAATGGCCACCCTAACAACCGCTAAAATAATTAATTACAGTTCTGTATTTTATGAGAAACTGCCTTTCAAACTTAAAGGTTATTTCAGTTTTTGATAGGGTGGCCTATAAAGTCTCTCACTTGAACTGGTGCAATTATGTGTCAAGTTTTACGTTGATTTACTTATTTGTCTTTCAGTGTGTCTGTGTTACATATGTCCCCTTAGTTTATCATATGCTGTTTAGGTCATCACAAAGACCTGTAAAAAGAAAGAAACGCTCTATGTAAAGCTCTATAGACAGTCGCAACACATTTGAGCGTATTGTTTGTTCACATTATTCAGCTACACAATACGATACGACTGTACTTTTATGAGGTGCATTCCAAGTGCTTACGTGTTTTAAACTGTTTCAGAGTTTTTTTACGTTACATTCTATAAAGTCAACAAAATATGTCACTCTGAAAAGGATTATTTTCAGGTGGGTAATCTAAAACAATGGAATGGATCTTGTGAACATGAAGAATCCTCGCCTGGACCCAAATTATTAAATTCTTCCAAGTCAACAGATTATAGACCCAACTGGCATCGTTACTGCTATACAATAGAGCTCAGAAGTGTGAAAAATGTACAAGGCTTTGATCATGAACTACAACTTTATGCTAGGTAAGTGAGAAGCTTTAGCATCCATCTAAGGATTTTTGAGATTGTATTATTGTTTAATAAAAATTTTTAATCATTTCTGCAGAACATTGTTATAAACATAAAATGAATCCCGCAAAAGCGGTTAAGTATAAATCCCTAAGGTCAGTGTTCGTTTTGTTATTTTTACCAAATCGATTAACTTGGAAATGTTTTTCATAGTGAATTCACACCAATCAGAAGATCATCGAAAATTGCGGGGAGTGAGACAGGTATTTGGCACTGTTTTAAAAAGCTCTTGTTTAACATTCCAAGGACAACTGAAATGGGTGACTGGAGACTCTCAGTGGTACTACTCAGAATAAGTTACCATGACACAGATGTATCGGCACATTATCTTCATCCTAATCGTCATGTCAAATTCCGTTATTTGTTTATGATCTTTTCTTCTCTTAGTATGACTTTCGACCACATTCTTCCAATCTATTTCTCTATCACTGATTTCGGTGTCTTATATCTTGGTGTGCTGATGTTAATTGAAGTAACTTAAACCTTTCCTTACCCAGTAGTTTTAAGTTTCATGTTGGTCCTGACTGGCTGACCGACTAGCTAACTAAATCCAAGGGAAACCCATTACCTATGGAATCAATTAAGGTGGAGGTGAAGTTGGATGTCCACCAATGGCATTGGATAACGAATGACTACAAAGAGATCAAAGAAAGATATATATACAACGGATCTATTAGTAAATTTAAAAGTGAACAGAATGTAATAGTGCTTGATAAATCTAAAGCATTTTTTGCAAAAACCTTATGAGTAAGATAATTATATTTAGGTGTTGTGTAAAGTTTCAGTATAGAAGTTGTTTGTTGCACCTTTATGAAGTTAGTCATGGCACTGAGGAAATGTCATTGGCTTATTCTAATGAAACCGAATTACTTTAGAAGTACAGAAGAGGCTTTGATTAAGTCAGAGGACAACTATGATTAAACATAAAGTTGCTGGTTTTCGTAATCAATGAAACTTTGATTAATTCTTATAGGCTTTCGACTGTCAACCCTCAACATTTTGATAGACGTGAACAACTGGATAGTATTATAAGCGTACCCACACTAAACACGAATTTTAGTCTAGTATAAACATCTGTACGAGTGTTACTAATTCTGTTGGGATTAGAAAGATAATTTAACGTTGAACTATAGCTCATACGTTTTATTGTACATTACCCACTAAGTGATATGGCGACTTGGATTTCATTCAAAGAAAGTCCAGTGATGCATTGAACGAAAGAGCACAAAACTAGGACGAAGCCACCGTTCAATACAATCTGAGACTTTGCGGATTTTTATTAAAACTATCATTCATTTTGAAAATCGATGAGATGCATTTAAATAGCGGGGAATAACTTCACCATCCTGTTGTTTTTAATCTGTTGACACTTCAGTCACCTGTTATTATTATTTCACTCTGCACCTATTAAGCCTTGAGTAACTGTATAGTGTATGTGTGGCTTACATTAAGCAATTTCAATTTGTTCCATCCATGTCAGCTGTATTAAACTTTCAATTGAAAGTAACATTAATCAGCTTATTAAAAGTATGCATTTGTGTTTCCACCTTTTAGATACGTATATCCGTTATTTGGAAGTGGAGCACCAGTTATGACACTTCCACCCGTACCGATTATTAAACATCAAGAAGTTTCTTTGCCTCATGGATTTTGTGCATTTGAATTTGCTGCATCTCCTGAGGAAGTAAGGTCAAATCAGAAGTTTTCACTTGATTTTGAATTGTTTGTTTAAAACTACATCTAACGGTGTTCTTGAGGACAGCTAACCATTTAGATATAAAATTATTCATCTAATATTCATGTGACATTCTTTCAGGTAGGAAAGTGTAGGATTTAAGTGTACTGTGCAGTAATCATCTTTCTTTTCTTTCCCATCTCTCTCAGTATGTTGCTGCCAAATATTGTCATAGATTCACTTATCTTCATCTTTCACCTCACTACCTTTTTACTTGATGTGCTGATATGAGGTGTGGCAACTCGGACCGTTACGCAGTAATGCCTGGTCCTATGTTGATAATGATGATGATGATGATGATCTTCGTCGTAGTTTGAGTAGTTCCAGGGTCGAGCGTAGAATACTTGGTAGAAAAGGCAGGGCGATCGTGAACGTTCATCGATTGAATTGGTCAAGATGTTAGTCGAGGATATCTTTCCACGACTAATCTTGACTTGCATTGTTGGGGATGAGACAAGAGAAGTTTCATAAAGTTCAAACCAAAGCAGCTTCAAATAATAGATTTTTTGATAATCAGTTTCTTCCATGTTTGAAAATGCGAACTTCCTTGTTATATTCAAAAAGACAGCTGAAACTTGCGATTACTGCCTTTATTAGATTGTTTTTTTTTCTGTGATCCTTTCGTCGTACTAAGATGGCGACTCTTACATGGTAAGTATGTATCTGTTAGTCAACAGTCGACAGGAAACTCTGGACCTAACTTTCATGGTTGTTGGCACTTGTCAGCAAGGCATGTTTGCGACCTCGTGGGGACTGATGTCCCATGTGAGATTTGAAACCGCATCACCCACTATTGCAGTCAGTGACGTTACTAATGAGCTATTCAGGCTACAACTGACCTCCTGTAGAAGTGGATTAGATGCACTGATTGGTCACTGGAGAGAAATTGATCTCATATTTCCTAGTATTGATTGTTTGCCGAATTCTAAAATGCACCGCGGTGATGAGGTTTTTAGCTTAGTGTCCACATTGCAAAGTGATCAATGGTATTTGGCTGGCACTCAGGAAATTGGTTTTTGTTCAATTACCGATCAATGTAAATATCTGTCCTTCTGCAAAGAATAATATTGATGCATATTATGTTGCTATAAGGATGTACAGAGATGTTAACAAGTGAATGACTAGTTTTAAGCAGTATTTATTTGCAGATTTCGCCTATGAAATATCAATGAAAATTTCACCATGCTTTGTTCTCTTTCTTCAGACCCATTGACTCAGTGTATGATATAAACAAAGTCGAGTAATCAAGAATACTTGATGTATATAAATAAAACCAGTTATCATGAGCGAATTCATCCCTTCATAATAGCACAAATTATTATTTTAGATTCCTTTATTATGACCTTTGAATAATATCACTTTGTTATCCATTACTTTTCCTCATATTGTCTTATACCATTATCTTATACCATGATAGAAGAGGCAGCGAAGACGGGACTTCAAATGAATATAGAGAAGATAGAGGTGATGAAGATACCGCACCACCACCATCAACAACAACAACAAACTCCAGTCACCATCAACGGGAGAAACTTAAAGGAAGTAACCTCCTTCACCTATCTAGGAAGCACTGTTTCAACTACAGGCGGGACGGACGAGGACGTCAAAGTCAGAATCGGAAAAGCAAGACAGGCGTTCATTAGCCTAAAACCAGTGTGGAGATCTTCTGCACTCAGCATGTGGAACAAGATCCGGATTTTCAACACCAACGTCAAGTCAGTGCTCCTGTATGGTTCAGAGACTTGGCGCGTCACGAAAGGCATTTCCAATAAACTACAGACATTCATCAACAACTGCTTACGCTCGCTACTGAAGATCAGATGGCCAGAAAAAATAAGCAACAAGGAACTCTGGGAACGAACCAACCAAGAACCTATCAATCAACAAATATGCAGGAGGAAGTGGAGATGGATTGGCCATGCACTGAGAAGGCCGGCTGAGGACATCACGCGTCAGGCTAGTTGCTCGAGTTGAATCCCCATGGGAAGCGACGAGTTTGGAGTCCTAAGTGAGGGTGACATGGAGAAGGTCGTGCGAGGAGGAAATGAGAGGTTGTGGGCTGTCGTGGAACCAGGTTCAAAAGATCTCAGAGAACAGGATGAAATGGAGACGTGCTACTGAAGCCCGAAGTTCCACTAGGAACCCAAGGGACTAATAATAATAATAATAATAATAATAATAATAATAATAATAATAATAATAATAATAATAATGGTCTGGTGATGTAACATACGACAACTAGAATCCTTACACATTGATAGGAGGTCATAAGTTCATATTAATCATCTGTACACCATTCATTAGTATGTAAGCCACTTCTTTTGTGTGGAAGCTTACGATAACATCTGATAGTAAAGTAAGGTTCAAATAAAGCAGTTATGTATTAACTCTATCTTTAAAAATCAGTGTTTGTAGGTCACTCAAATAAAGCAGTCTACAGAAGTCACTACTTGAATACTGGTAATTTACACATTCTCCAATTACTTCACTTCCCTATAGGCAGCATATCTTTTTGACAATAAACATTTATAAAGTGGTATTCATCACGGTGAACAATTGAAAACCTGGGAGTACTGGACAGCTGTTTCGTTCTAGTCGAGGACTTTTCAACATTGCACACCCACGAACTCAGAACCTTCAATTTTTACAGTGAACATGTTAGCTATTCAGCCTATGGGTCGGAGTTTAATGATCCACAGTTTCCTGCTGATATCAGTCCGTGATGAATACCACCTTCAAAATAAAATCCCCATAAAAACCTAAAAATAAACATTCAGTCAATTTAGAGCGCCAAATAATTTAAACCGTTGAACTCAGGCTGATGTTTTGAGTACATATCGATTATTTGCTAGACAATAAAGGTTAAGCAGCAAAATACAGTGGAGTTTTGTAGTTGGATTCTACTTAGCTGCTGCACATCTAAGTTGAAAGGAATTTAAGGATTTTCATAGTTTGTTGAAATTTAGAAACATTACGAAAATGTTGTAATTAAGCGACAACTATAATCCTAGTTAAGACTATATTGACATGGTGTGTCGGTTGCTTTTGTACGTCAAACGTACTATAACGGGAATATTTATAAACTATTTTTGCTTTTATTACACTGTATAAATGAAAATAATAACCGAGTTTCTGAACCTAGGTGACCGTGACATCTGTTATGAATGCTGAATCACCATCATCTTAGTAAGCAATTTAAGCAAAAGTAAGATTAGGCTAGAAAAAAGGTGACAGCGTTTAAGTTTTAACATAGCAGATGTGTGCAAAGTAAGGCTTCTGATTAACGCAATCTATTCCCTTTCAGTTGATTTATTACGTGTAACTCAAACATAAAGAAACGAAGAGATATCCCATCGATCGCGTGTAATGGGTGGTGGCGAAAGCGAGAGAGATGGGGAAGGCATTAGCGTTAGGTAACACCCAGAAACTATTTAGGTTCATTAAGGATACTGGCAAGAAGAAAAATGATGGTTAATGAAACGATCACCGTAACAGAGGGGATTCTGATAACCTCCCAGAATAGGCGACAAGAACATTGAACAGAACACTATGAAGTACAGTTCAACTACACTGAAACAACGCTTCAATTGCCCAACATCCAACCTGAACCTGAATTAGGGCGTAGATGTCGGTTTTCCAACTCTCCTTGAAGTAGAGAAAGCTGTATCGAACTTGAGATGATGAAAAGCACCTGAACCTGATACTTTGCCACCCGACAGAGTGACGCAGATACTAGGCAGTGAGTGTGTGGGAATCAGAGATAATGTCGTCATACTGGTGTACTTCATTGATCATCTCAGTCTATGAGAAGGGATAAAAATCTTCTTGTGACAACCATAGGGGAATTCGTTTAACTAATATAATTTATATTAATTTTTCCCTTGGGTTCCTAATGGAACATAGGGCTTCAGTAGCACGCCTCCATTGCACTCTGTTCTCTGCAGTCTTTTGAACCTGGCACCACGACTGCCCACAGGCTTTCATTTCTTCCTCACATGATCTCCTCCATGTCACCCTCGAACACTCAACTCGTCGGTTCCCCTTTGGACTCCACTAATAAAGTGTCAAAGATTCTAGGGTCCATAGTTGGGCGACACCTAAGTGGAGCTCGAGAACAGCGAACTGGAGAAGACCAGACAGTTTTCAGGCAGATCTGATGAGGGTGTGTCGATCATATTTTCATCCTCCGATAGGTTCTGGAACACCGGCATGCCTACCGGTCAGTAGTTGACGCCGTCCACATTTGTTGACATGAAGGCAAGCGTTATTTGACTCTGTCGATCGTGAGGTATTGTGACAGTGTCTGACTGTGAGAGTAGTAGCGAACAACTACATAATGCTTATCACAGCTCTCTATTGGAACTCACGCAGCCGTGTTCAGACTTACAGAGAGTTGTCATATGAGTTGATGACAACTCGTATTGTCTGCGGTGGATGTTCAATGTCACCGTTTCTATTTACTTCGTTGAAAGTAGAAGACATGAAGTGGTTACTGGGTTTTGATCATAGATGTTTTCGTATCATTGCTGGTGTTTGATGTGATCAGTGTGTCAGCAATGTTGAGTTCATGCGAAGTATGATAGACAAGAGAGGTAAGTCGATTTATGGTGTTGTGAACCTTAGTCTACTGATATGGCTCGGACATGTACGATGCATGCTGAGTCCCGGCCTATTTCGACGTGCCATGGTAGGGGAAGTTGTATTATGTTGAGAGAGGATTCAGGTTGGCCGGACGAAGATGTGACACTAGTCTGTGAATTGTTTTACTGTTGGTGTGAGTCGAGTGGGGAGAGACAGACTACGAGGTTCTGGTTCTTGTGACGATAGGAATGATTGGTTTAGAACTCTGTGATATAGCTGAAAGTAGATGGCAGCGGCACGGATGTATTGACTCTGTGACATTTTCTAACGCTTGAATATTTGTACTAACGGTTATTTTCAAATTGTTGATTGTCTCACTAAACTTTGTGTATTTTGATATTACTCTTTTTCTATCCACCTGTTGTTTGTATACCACTATGAAGTGAAGAAACTTGAGCGAATGCATGTATATGCAAGGTTCCACTTTGGTTCTGTCGATCCATCTATTCTTTATTAGATGTATCACACAGTGAGAGAGTAAATACTGGACTGCGTTTTGGTCGCAATTTATTTTCGTTAGTTATATTGAAGTCATTATCATCATCAGGAGCAACACGTGATCAGGCATTACTTCGCAATGGTCGATGTTGCCACACCTCATATCGTCACATCAAGTAAGAAGGGAATAAAATCGACGATGAAGGAGGAACGAAAGGTCAGGCAAAAATGTAGAAAGAAATAAAGGAGAAGAAGGAGGAATGAGAAAATGATGAGATGAAGTAAAGCGGTTCAGATGAGGATAATGTGTGTATAGATCTGTGCCACTAACATCAGTTGCGAGCCATATCACCTAAAGTCTCTAACTACTTGTTTCTCTTGTTCCTGGGACCACAGTCGGCTAAACTGCATAAGTCTAAACGGCTGAAATGAGCGGTCAAGGACTTCATGCGTTCGTGCCATGTTTTATTCAAGTTTTATATAGAGGTAACTTCACAACTTGCAGACATGGTTTATTTAGTTCCAATTGTCTCTTTTTCTTTGTGTTGTAGGTAGTAGGGCTTTCTGTGTATCTGGAACAGATGCGTAATCATTCATGTTGCATGTATGTGACGTTGTTTCAGCGGAGCAAGATTCTCTTATGGGTCTCTCCCTCCACTTCACTAAATTACGTTTTAAGGACTGTGACTTCTCATCTTGTTGTGTATAAGTGCATGTATAGCTCTAGTCAAGCTTTTCTCTAGATTCCTTCTTTGCTAAGACCTTATAATCTTGATTTACCGAAGTTTTGTGCTCGGATAGCCCGACTGACCCTGGTCGACTACTTCGAGCTATCTATTTGAGCTGGAAGTCATAGTACAGGAGTCAGTAAACCGATTTGTTTTGCCTAGGTTGGTTGAGAATCCTTTACAATACCTCTGATTTATCTTCCTTGTTCAGTAACAGTAATAGTTTTGAATTCTCCTTTCCACATATGTACATATATGTTTCTACTACTACTGAGATTTTTCCTAAAATTTCTCATAAATTTATTGATAAATTCAAGTAGGTTATATTGATGGGTAAGGTGTGTTTTAATGTATGGGATTTCTTGTCTCAAACTTTCTTTCTTACTAGTATAACTTTTGGCCGCTTTTCCTGAAACAGTTTGCTAGCGTACCTTAACTGACATAGGATGAAGTGATTCGAAGTCAGAGTAAGGATTCGAATGTGAAGGTTTCTTATAGACACTACTGTCGAAGTACCCGTATTGTGTTTTTACTCTGCAATCCAACATAGTTAGAACCCCTTTACCACTTCCTAAGTTGGATTGCTTTCCTTACTGAACTTATATGTGCTACAACTGGAATACTATAAATATATCAGCAACATATTTAAACCATATGTTTGGAGCAAGGATAAATTGTTCGAAGGCCATCTGTTCTCAAAAACATTCATGAATATGTCTGCCACAATAGGGGATATTGTTGATGTCAAAGCAACTTCTTTTTGTTTGCATATTTTACTTTGGAATTAAAAGGCAATAGAAGCGAGGTGTAACTCATCTCCTAACGTAAACTTCTTCACTGATACCTTAGTTTGAAACGTAAGCTCATGTCTGTCATTGCTGTCGTTTCTGACTACCTCCAGAACCAATGCCTATCACTATTTTAGTATACAAGCTAGTTACAACAAAACTAGCCATTTTTCTGGCTGTCATCTAAATGTATACCAACTGATCTATGCTTTGCGTCAGAAGGATTAGTAAGTCTTGATTTAGAATGGTTTCCAATTTGGTCTAGTATCTTTGCTAAATATTTAGATAACTTGTGAGTAGGAGTGTTTCTAAGCTTAACTACGGGTTTGATAGGATAACCTGGCTTATGAGTTTTGATATTCCTAAAAATCCTACTGGGATTGTTAGCCTGTGGCATTAAATTAAATCATTTCGACTCACCTAGAAACGGCTTCATTCGGGATATTAGGTCCACTGAGTCTATTATTTTTTAAATTTCTTCAAATTCTCCTTTTGGAATATGTTTGTTCATTTTCTGAGCGTAATCAGATTTGTTTAATACTACTGTTGAGTTACCTTTGTCTGATTTAATAACTAATATGTAGTTACCATTCCAAAGTTTCTTCGAAGCTTTTATTTCTGCCTAAGTGCAGGTTGTAATCGTACCTCTACAGTCTACAACAGTACAAGCATTTTGTATTTGTTTTGACGGTATCAGCTGTTTAATCAGGGTGCTAGATTCATTAGAAAAGTGTTTGTAAGACTCAGTGTAAAATATTTTAAAAATGTTGTAAAAGTATTCATTGTTGGTCTTCATTGAAATTCTGATCCCCTTATTAATCCTTGCTCATTTATTTCTCTTTTATCAACTTATATTAAGATCTTCCTACTTCTAGTATCCTTTTCTGTTTACTGTTTCTAGGTATGATGTAGTAAATAATTGTACTTTTATACAAGTTTTTACATTTTCCTCTATATGAGCACGAAAATAAAGTGAAGTGAATTGATATCCTTGTTCAATTATTTTTTCACAGCAAACCATTAATTCATTTAAATTTTGAGGGAGTTGTGGAGATTTGGAATTATTTCAAGTTGTTATTCATCGTAGACTGACATCAGCTGGAGGAACAAAGGAAACCTGGGAGCACTGGACAGCTGTTTCGTCCTAGTATGGGACTCCTCAGCAGTGCGCACCCACGACCCCACCAGCAGGGATCGAACCCGCGACCTTCAGGTAACGCGCTGGCCGCGGAACCTGAAGGTCGCGGGTTCGATCCCTGCTGGTGGGGTCGTGGGTGCGCACTGCTGAGGAGTCCCATACTAGGACGACACAGCTGTCCAGTGCTCCCAGGTTTCCTTTTTTCCTCCAACTGATGTCAGTCTACGATGAATAACATTAATTCATTTGTAGATAAGTAATTTCGAATATGTACACTAACTGCAAAATATTACTTTCATTTTGTTTTATTATGATTGTAGCTAAAAACTCGGCTTACCGAAAATCCTTTGACAGTGGAATTTTTTGACAGGTCACAAGGTTCTTTAACAACAGATTTATCTATTGGCTATGCAACTATATCTTTGGCATCAATCTTTGAATCACATATTGTAAAAGGTCAGAATATATACTTGACTTCTTTTATTTCATGTTCCATTGATGCTTCATAGATAATGTTTAATCAAGTGGTTCATGAAAAATTGATGAGTTTGAATGTAGATTACACAAGGAATTGATACGACCTAATGAATCACTGAAAACCAGGGAATACTATTCGTAAATGTTGTTCTACATTGAAGAATATCACTCATGAATTCCAATTCAGGATCTTAATGCATCATTGTGACCATACTACCTTTCAACCAAAAGGTTGCAAACCAACCCTCATTTTTGTCTATCGATTTTCACTTTGAAGTCATGCCTGCTAATAAACGTAAATCAAAAGACTTAATTTCATCTACAAATTTCAGTTTAGAATTTGGAGAGAAGCAGAACAACTTGCCAACTCACTTCAGACTCACGAAAGAAATTCAAATACTTTTATCCAAACGGAGAAAGATTTTATGCTTTTAATGAATAGTTAATAGATGACCAGTACATTTAAATCTCTGACTATTGGTACGGATTTAGGATAGAAAAGTTATACATAAAGACAACTCATTGCCTTATTATTAAATCATCTGGTCCACACGCTGTCTATTCTGGTTAGTTGAACAAATATTCCTTCAGGTGACTCAAAGTTTTCAGTATTTTGGAAGATTTTTCTTGAAGTCATCTAAAAATCTTGCCGAAATACCTTAAAATATTTGACATTTGTTACACCTCTTTTGAAATTGTCTTTAATGAATAATGTGCTCATATAATACTAATACTAATACTACTAATAATAATAACAGTTACAATAATAACCGCTTTATTCCAAACAAAATGTATGACAGCATGTAATGTTTCAAAAAATCCACTCACAGAACAATACTTTCAGATGAAACGGTTATTGCATCGGAATGATGTTAATAATAACAGTATTCAAGGCAATAATATGAAATAGTCAGCTGGTTCTGGATGAGCATCTGTTCCATGATGAAGAATCAACAAAAATCCAAACGTAATTTTGGTGGTGGCCATTTATTTCATCAGACGGTACAGAAATCTACAACTCAAGCTAAAGCATCTAATGGATAGAAATATGATGTACTTTTTTGCACCGAAAAGTTCATTTCCATATAACGTAACATTTTTCATTTAGAAGTAGTATTCATCATGAACTGACATCAGTTGGGGAACCATTAGAAATCTGGGAGCACTGGACAGCTGTTTCGTCCTTGTATGTGATTCTTCTGCTTTGTTATTGACTCAAGAAACGGAGAGTTGGAAATAGTTTAAAAATGTGCAAGAGTACATGATACGTTCAAAGGACATATTTAAATGATTAAAACAAACTGAAAAGAAAGAGTTTGATGAAAAATGTTCGATGGATAAATTTGATAGCCTATGGTTCAACCAGGCCACTGTGAATGTGTGTAAAACAACAATGCAGATTATCAATATAATTGACAAGTTGAATTGGTCGGTACACACTCGTTGTCAGCTAAATTTCGAAACTTATCGAAGCACAAGATTAACGTGTGTGTAGGGATAACTAAACTACTATATGTTCGTTGTAGCAGTAGTCAGGTGGAAAATTTTTGAAAGGCAACAATTTTGTTACTCTACAAAGACTAGAATAACTGGACAGCACTACGTCTGTTGAACTACTCCCTGCTTCAATATGCAATATTAAACGATGCGAAAGTGGATTGTCTAGAGCAGTAAGATGATCATGTTAATAAAATGCACCAACCTACCAAGTTATTGGCTGTTAGTGTGAACCGTGTATCTCTGTATAGTGTATTTCAGTATAAATCTATGTGGTACAGATGGATTACAGTTAACCCTTCCCCCCTCTATCATTCTGTATCAGTTCTTTTTTAGCTTTTTGTCAATCTTTATTATTAGTATCACCATTTTTTTAGTTTACTTTGCTTGTTTCGGGTATACAGTTTCTTGCTGTCTTGAAGTGATATAACGTAAGCCAGTGCGCTGCTGAATTAGTTTCTGTATTGCTCACTTCTTACGCTTCAGGTGGATATTATTTGATATAGACATTAAGTTGTATGATTATTTATTTGTTATACTTCTCATATTCATACTTATTGCTATTGAGATGCAGAAGTATTTTTAAAAATATACTTTCCGTTCTCTATTTCAGCCACGAAAGAATCATCTTCCTTAGTAAGACGTATGAATGGTAGTGTGGATATGTTAGCAAATCAAAGTTATACAAATGAATCCAAAATTATTGGACAACTTGTTTATTCATTACAGCTAGAGGATTTTGGTATGCACTCTACAGACTGTAATATATCTGTGTCACATATGACTAACGAACTTGGTCATCATATGACAGAGGAATGTAAGGTGAATATCTAATATTTTTCAGTTAATCTTATTATGGTTTTTTATCACAAACAAGTGTCAGTTAAAGAACTACGTAGAGTTATCAAAGCTGTAATAATATGCTAAGGTGTGTAGGATTAATTTAGAAGCGATCAAAAATGAATGCCGACTACTTTGGTTTTATTTTCTAGTTTTGTGAATTTCACTTGACTAAAAAGTGCCAACAACTAAATTTTAACTTAATGATTCGATAAAAACTTGCTTTGAATCAGTTGTTCAGGCTCTTAGTTCATTCACTAAAACTTTGAACAGCCTACATTGCTAAAAAGATGTGAACTGAAACGAAAAGGCTTTCAATTCTCGTCATTTTTCAGTAACACATTAAATATGTTTTATTATAAAACCCATCTCTGTCTCACCTGAGCATATAGAGTTTTGACTACTTATCATTTCGGATTTTGAAAGATTGAATAACACTTCCACATTTGTAGAATTCAGGCTTATAAACTTTATTTTGGATAGTTCCAGTTTTGTCTTCTTCTAGCTTCAAAATTAGAAAACCATTATTTAGTATTTGTTTATATGTCATTCTAGTAAGGAATTCTGTTTACCTGAAGTTACCGGCCTAAACGTTGTGCTGATTGTGAGCCGTCATACTATCTTGTGATTTAAATTTCCATTATTCATCGCCTCAATCAGGAAATTTCTGACTTGGTATATGAAAAAAAGAGGAAAAATCCTGCTACTTACCATAGAGTCACTATCATATTTCTTAAGATATGGTCACTGAAGTAAATTCATAACAGCATAAAAACCAAATCACATTTATATTTCAGGGTAGATGCATTCACACATTATTTTCATCCTTATCATCCAATCAAATTTCTTTTTTGCTTTACCCTGTTTTCATCCCTTCTTACTGTCTTCTAAGACTTGCAGTTATTTCTTTCTTACTGTCTTTCACCCACCCTTGCTACTTTGCATCTTGATGTGAGCTGTAGCAAAATGGACTATTACGCAGTATTACCAGGTGGCCCATTGATACTGACTGAATCTATTGGAGACCCTAGTGGACTGATTGATTCACCTTGGCGAAACCTTTTATAAAGTGATTGCATTTTATAGCTTTTATGAGTGTTATTTTGTTTTTCTATCAAATATAGGAAGAATATTGACAGTAACTTTGAGCTGAAATTTCTTATTAAAAATCCTCCTTAAGATTATCTTGTTGTAGTGACTTATGTCTACTGTTTTGCTGTATCATACATTGACTTACAAACAGCTTCACTACAAGGAAAATCAAGTCAGTGTTCCAACATTTGGATACCCTCTTTATAAGATAGTCAATCACATTTCACTTCCTTTCGGGTTACAGTTAGCTGGAAAATATAACTTTACAACCTGAATGAAGTGTATGCCTTTATATTTTCGTGATCCTTACTATCATTAATAAGCAAATTGTGTGCTATAAATATTGATTTCGTTAGCACTATTTACACATTTTGTTCCCTTTTACTTCATTTGTATCGTTCTTATGGCTCATCATCATCATCATCATCATCATCATTATCAACATAGGACCAGGCATTACTGCGTAAAGGTCCGAGTTGCCACACCTCATATCAGCACATCAAGTAAAAAGGTAGTGAGGTGAAGGATGAAGATAAGTGATTGCTGAAAATAATATTCATAGTATTTCTTCATAACTTTTCATTTAGTAATTAGGAAATTATAGCCTATAAATGCTAGCATATCATGTGAAACAAAATGAACTATTATAAGTCATGACTTCATTAATATACGAAAGCCTGTTCAAATCAGATGGATTGCTTCATCTTTCATTGTTTTACATGTGACTTTAATCACTTTAAACTATGCGTTGTTCAAAATCAACCTCTTGGTTGACAGGTATAAAATGTGCATCAGTAATGGCTTTGGATGAATGCATAGTTTACTACAATCAGTAAAGTAATTAACCAACACAATTTCACTACCCTCTTTTATTATCTTTCTTATTATTGAATTTCTTTATGTCATATTTATCTTTCCCCCACTTCCAGTTTTCATATATAATGCCTTAACAAGTGAATGTGTGATCAGATTGTTCGAAATGTATAGCGCTAATACATCGCATTTTTCAGATAATCTACGTCTTCTAATTACATTATCCAAATCCATAAAAGGGACTTATTGTTTCATATTATATTTTATTGAACATTTTTATACATAACTGATGTGTAGAGAATATCTTCACTATCCACAAATGAACAGTTTGAATCCTCAGATATTCGATCAACTCGTGAGTATCAAGTAGCAATGGAGTTAGAGTTATGGCGTGCTGCAGAAGAAGCAAAATTTACTGCTCAACTTAAAAAACGTGAACAGACACTGATGTCTACACTAGCTGAAGAATGGCATAAAAGAGACAGTCAACGTGAAACCATATGCCGTAAGAAAGTAAGTAAATAATTTGTTACCATTTCATTGTATATACTGGTTTTGAAAAACCTAGTTACTGAAACTTATTTAGAATATTATCTCAGACAAGTTAATAGAAACGTAAATATAGATGCTGAATACATTGGAATACTGGGCATTCTTTGCAGTTATACGTCTTTATGCAACCCTTTATTTCCGCTTTTAATCTGTATAACTACAGATTATTCTCACTATGCATTAATGAAGTTTGCTTTACATTTTTAAGTGAACATTTTTGACTGCTTTATTGTCGTTGGTTCTACTGAATTTTTCGTATATAGAGTTTGTATCAACATTTGTGGATTTGTAACCCCATTATAGTTGTATCAGATGGTGTAAAATAAAACAATTTATCTCTCAGAGAGAATCTATATGACGCGAAATGGCACAGAACTTACGCTACAAGGCGAAAAATATCCTCATTCTGATACTGACACGATTAACTTTATGGGATCTCACACATATGCACAATAGCAGATATTGGATTTCTCTCTATAACATTGTCGATGAATGAGTACTAATTGAATCGTACTAATACACGTAAAATCTATGTCACATTGAAAGCCCTAACATGTTAATTACTTTACAAAACATCTACATTTTTCTAGGATTTAAAACTGAAACAAGTTATGTCATTTTGAAGCAGAAGGGAAAATCATCTGACACCGAAGTTAGTAAATATCATTACTGGGATATGCCATTTTTGCTAATGATCTAGTTTGTCACATCTCACAACAATCTATCAAGGTAGAAAAGCACCGAGATGAAAGATCGAGGAATAAAGGAGAAAGCAGTCAGAGGTTGTAAATGATCATGGAAATGCCTATAAAGAAAAGAACAAACGAAATTCCGTTTGGAGATTGAGATGCAGATAATATGTGGATACATATGCACCACTGAGATCGGTTCTGTTTCAGTCTGCTCACCCCTCACCTTTTCCTAACTTGAGCCTACTTCATTCAACATTGTGTGACTAGGCATGCGCAACGCATGTGCTAACCATCTGACTCAATCAAGGTTTACAACCTAATCAAATAACTCTGTTCTCTCTCAAAACTGCACCTGATTTCTGCATTACTGATGTTGTGACACCAGGACACACGGCCTTTGCTACGAAGGCAGTGTTGCCTGAACACATGTAGCTTTCTCATGGCCTCTAACTTGATTGGCCATGTTTTACAACTATCTGGTAGAACAAAGTGAACTGCAGAGCTGTATACTCGGCTCTCCGTAGCCAATCAGATATCATACCAATATCTTATATGGTTGACAAAGGTCTTTTGTATCCGTGCTAAGATTTGGTTCATCGCTGACTCACCCACCAGGACCGGTTTGAATTCTGAAGCAAGTGAAGTGAACAACGCTCACAATCACTTCTCACTGTTGGATATGGCACCAACGCGAGCTAGTCGTGGAGCAACAGTTTGCATTTGTATGGTGAGAAAAACATCCCAAACATTCTAAAATTACCACTCCAGGTTTCGAGGCTGTATCTTGTTAGCATCTTCATTTAATAGAACTATGTCATCTGCTTCTTGTAGATTTACTAACAAGTTTTCTGTGACAAGATGGGTCCTTGCGAAGTCAGTCGAAGAGAGGGAGATCTCCATAAGTACGTCAGTAACAAAACTAAGTAAAGTGGAGATTGAATATCCTAAGAGGCTACAACTGAAAGTATACAACTCACTTAATACCCCACTACACGTCTTAACGCACCCACGGGTGTTCGAATAAAAGCCTTCGGCAGGTTTCTGTTCCCATCCAACATGCCTGTTAGTGAAACACTACCATAAAATCTGTCGACTGAGGAAGTCGAATGTCACTTTCAAGTTGAGAGATAATTCTGATACCATGATAATATCCTACCATGTTCATGGACAAAATATTTACTTCACTAGCCCATAATTCTTGGCTTTACTTCCTAACTTTTTTTCTAGCGCAAACTGAGATGTATTCATAAGTGACGATTGTCAGATTACACTCTTGGGAGTAGTGAGACGTGTGTGTACCTAACTACAGAAACGGATGGATGACCTAATCTACGACGAAATATTTATGAGCGTGCCATGTGACTGACTTGAAAATTACCTTCAGTGCATTATTAGAAAACCTTCATGGATAAACAGGAATAGAAAAACACAGACAGCTTACTATTTTTTAATACCAGCTACCGCACAAATAAAAGTTACACTTGAAGTCCTCTCTCATTTGGGTACATAGGGGAAGGTTGAGTTCACACATCATTCTCTGTATCCTTCATTTTTATATGATGGCGCCGAAACTGTATTACAGAAACATGCCGATCGTTTGTAAATAGTGTGATATTGATCAACATATCCGTTTAAATTGCAATATGTTAACCTGCGGTGCACGAAACCGTGAATAAAGATTGGGGTAGGTTGCTGTTCGCTTCAGCCTATACAAAACCAGAGAAAACTCCCTGTGGCAGTTAGTTTGACTAACGACGTATCTAAGATTTTAGTCCTTCGTCATGCGACCGGAGCTTGAGAAAACTGAACAGGTTTTGGAACTGGACGGGTTTGCATTGTTGATTACAGTTGGTTTTACAATAACTAGTCAACACGACATTGGACAAAGTGGTCGCCCTCTTCGCCTTCGTCTACATGGACACCATTTGGCTATGAAACATCACATCTCATCACTGACTTCAATGCACGTGGATAATTATGGACATGAATTCAATTTTGACAGTGTAAAAATTTTGGACAGAGGAAGCACAAAGAATATCAGAGAATTCCTTGGCATTCAAATCAGTCAGCAATCAATAGGTGTATAGACACAGGCCCAATCTACCAACCAATGGGAAAAACGATAAACGACAGAAAGGTTAGTGGTCAAGCAGTGGAACAGCCAATGGGAATATCTATACAATCAATGACACGATAGTCAAAGGAAACAACCTATCTCAAACCAGTTCGTCAGGACCAGCTACTAAATCACTCACAGAGAGACACTAACAGCTCTCTTCATACTGAAGTTAGTGCTGATGATGTCGTCTAGCAAGACGATGAAGGCTCCATGATTAAACAACTCATTTCAGAGATGAATGGAGTCCCATGCGAATAGCTAATGCTATTTAAAGTTGTCTACTCAAACTCAGACAGCCCCATAAGGGCTTACGGAGAGTTGTCACCCGAAGCGAACACAACTGCTAGCGTCCTTAAAAGATACCACTGTCACCATTCCTGTTTTACTTTGTTATAAGTGTACTAATGGACATAACCCGAGGTACCTTGGACTTCTCAGGGATTGGCTTACTTCCAGGATGGCACCTGGTTGACTGGAAGTATGCAGACAACGTAGATTGTCACGCGAAGACTGAAAAAATGCAGTCTTCTGAACGAGTTGAGCATAAATCTGAGTACTTCCGGATTATGTTTTGCACGTGCTAAATGTAACACGATGCTTGAAGACTGGTCAACATCGACTCGTGAATTGAGGATAGGAAAGCGAATTGGTAGGATGTAGTGATTACTTCGTTTGATTAGGAAACTGCATTAGTGAGAATGATTTCATTGCTGACGAAAACTCTACTCAGATACAAAAGGTTCAGTTTGCATCTGCCAATTTGTCTTTTTTGGTGACAACAAGAGGTCCGACTTATCATCAGCAACATCACCATAGGACCAGGCATTACTGCATAACAGTCCATGTTACCGCGACGTTCAACTACACGTCAAGGGATAGGTACACTGCGCTGCAGTCTGCTCTGTCCTATTATACAGTTGTGAGACATTGACTATAGACTGTAGAATGCATGAAGTTACAGGTTCTCGATAATAGGTATCTTCGTGGCATTACTCTTGTGTGGTTAAACTACTGTACAAGCGATGGTGAGATCAGACGGAGGCCACCAGGCAAGTCAGTCATGAATCTTTGCTGACTGAGACACGTTTTGCGCACTTCTTTTTTACCATCCACCGTGATGTTTGATGATAACTAAAGTAGAATTAAATTGGGAAAACCTAAGGGTAGCCAGATAAATTTGTGGCACGAACTAATGAAGTCTCAGATTGTTGATCTAGCCGTGGTCCTCATTATGACGGGAATCTATAGTCCAAGACTCTCGACAGTATGGTTCAAAACCGGTTGCCGCTGTGCAGATATGTTCACCCTTCGAAAGTCTGAACATTTTCACTAGCCTTCATATTTTGCAAGTTCGCTTTCCCTCCAGACAATTTTGTCTACTTCAATATCGCTTCTCTACCTTACTTTAATATTGTACTGTTTTATACATTTGCCTACTTAGCTTTCAGAATATCAAGCTTTAGAAGAGAAATTACGTAATATACTTAGTGAACTTGCTACTAGAGAGCGTCAGCTGACTGCCGGTGAAGCGGAGCTGGTACGTTTGAAACAAGAAAACTCAAGAGAATTGGAGGTTAAGCGCAAAGAACTAAACCATCAGTCTCAGATTCAAACTCGAGATTTGGAATGTCAAATTAAACTGGAAAAGAAAAACAGTGAGTATTGGAAAGCACAAGTAAGTTTATTCTCTTTTATGATAAAATCCGAGTTTTGTTATATACAAATGTTTTTTGTGACTTCATTTTTCGACCCATCTACATGTATACGCATTTCCAGTTCTTTTATTTCATTTAAAGGTTGGTGAATGGCAAAATAAGTGCATCTCTTTAGAAGAAGAAATTAACGGTTTGCGAAGCAAACTTAATAGTAAATCTAATAAGCAAACAGAAAATAAAGTATCCAGTGAAACTGCAAATCACGAAATAGCCCGACTGACTGCAGAATTGGCAGTCGTTCGTGCCACATTGTCTGAGACGGAATGTCATCTAAGTGAGGTGGAACGTGGTCGCGCAAGATATCGACAGCTATGGACAAAATCTTTGCATGAATTGGCCAAAATGAAACAGGAAAACGATGAAGCTACCCATATTTCTCTAGTTCAAAAAGAAGCGGAATTGGAACAGTTGAGGTCCTATTACTCGAATGTCGACGACAAGCAGCCAGCTAGTCGGAGTACGAAAGTAGCGACTGTAGATGAACTAGAACAGTAAGTCGATGTTTCCTTAGTGATAGTCTTTTTCATTTGGAATGTACAGATAACTCCACAATTATTGTTACGTGTGAAATGTTCACCACTCCTGGCGCGGTTTGTAAACACATTTGAAACATTCCTGAACACCTTGTGTAGCGACTTGCGAAATCCTCCGGTTAGTAATTCTGTTTCACCATCTGACACCAAATAAAAAAAGCTAATACGGAAATATGTTGTATCAGTGCCCAAGTTCTATTCTTTTATGAAACCTGGTATATGGAATTACGCTGTCATGAATTGTAATCGACTAGCCTTATGGCTGAGAAATGTTTGTCGGTTTAGGTTTTACTTACGGATATTCTGTATTACCATATTACTTATTTTCGCAGATTACTCCATTTTAAGCCTACTTGACAAGCAGAAAAATTAAAGTGATGCGAAACATGGCTATTTCGGATAACGTGCTTCCTACTTGCAAGGCACTATTAACATCAATTAATTAGGCATCCTAAATATATAAAACCTGATGCTTACAGGAAATAACACATAATCTTCCGCCAAGTCACTAATTATTTACTAAATTATGCTGAAAGTTCATTGAATCGAAGTATTTTTAAGTCACTATATTTAGTCTACTAAAATGAAATATTTTTAAATCCCAATACTGAATAACAAATAAATTCACATGAAACTGAATGAATGTCGCAAATTTTCTTTTCAGCTTTAGAATAAAGAAGATTTTTGTATTTACTTCGTTTTATTCTACCGATTCGTTCACTCAAATTCACTAAGTGATAGCATGGAATTCAATTGCGAATTCGCTAGGATTTTTCCTGCTGATAACATAAAAATATGGCAATACAGTGACTAGATATTTATCCTCCGAAGTAAACTGAGGTTGCAGAGACAGTATGAAAGGAAAAACAATGTAATAGTAACTCATCAAACAGAGGGGAGTTAGTGATGATAGTGTAGTGTTCTTTGACCTTTGCTATCTTGTCGTAAACGTTTCTTCACAAGGCTTAGTGATATCTTCAGCACTAACTTCATAAAAAAGTGAAGCATATTCGAATGTTACACGAATGTTTTTATTGACCTTGGGTGTTGTCCAGTTGTAGGTTTCATCACCAAGCCCGGTGATCAAACGTTCACGACAAAATATCAAAGCTCAGAGAACACCAAAACACCATCATCCTGAGTTACCAATTTTTTTCTAACAATTCCAAAGAGGAGAGTTAAAACGAGAGCAGTTTACGAAGGCTTTGATTTTTCTTGATATGGGAGACAAAACATACATGGTATCACTGTTACTGATCATGATGTGTTTAACTTAACAGACGTCTAAATGGTCAGATGGGATAAATCCCTTCTCCTTTCATTGGTACCTAAGGTGGCTGTCCCTATAAATAATCTAGCCTAGTATCAAACTAACCGGACAACTTGAAATAATGCACTCTTGCGCCAGGTTTTACGAGGAACTGTTTGGTTTCTCCCAAAGCTCAGAAGCACTTGGAAAGATACTCAGATGTTCCCACTATTTCTGGCGGTTCATCACTCAGGTGGGTTTCAGAACCAAGGAAGACCCAATATTGCTAACATATTTCGCATTATACTTTTACTGTTTGTACAATATACTTACGGACACCACCTACTGATGTTTCAGTGATGATAATGTCGCTCAGTTGCTGAAGTTAAGAAATCTTTCTTTTGATAAGATCATTGATGGTTGGAGACACTCGAAAAGCGTGTTTGCGTGGTCTAATATCACCTGAAGTATTTCGATAAACTGAGGTATAAGATATTCGTTAGTTACAACTTCTGATGTTCATTATGCAGAATTGTAACACCTCAATCAATATCACCTTACTCAAAACGTCATTTACTATCCGCAGTTGACAAAAATACAACTTCAGTGATGAAACATAACTGGTATCGAGCAAAAAGAGTACATGAGAAGTAAGCGACTAATTGGTTCAATTCATTTTGTCGTTTACACTCACTAGAGAATGAATCACAAACACCATGTTTCAAATGAGTGACAAAAAACACGCATATCGTGGTAACTCAATGTGAATCACTGTAAATTAAATAATGTAGGATATCCTAATTGTAACGCTGCACACTGATGGTAGTTGCTCATACTAACCATTATTTTAGTTAACGCTTACAAAAACATTAATTTGTTGTATTTCTTCATTAACTATATACATATCGATGGTGAATATAATTATGAATTCACCTGATATATATATATATATATATATATATATATATATATATATATATATATATATCCCATGCTTTATGCTACAAAGAGAAGTACTTAACATCAATCACTTACTGCATATAACAATGCATTTGTGGTCTCTACAAGCAGTTATTATTTGTTTACTTAATACTAAGGGGGAAAATTAGGCGGAAATCCGGGTTTGTCAAATAACTAGAGACCAATCTGATTCAATCGGTAACGCATGCCGATTTGCATGCACCGCACATACTGGCTTTAACAATCTTATAACGATCCCACTATAATTTTGACTGAATGAATCCCAGTGGGGCTTTTTCCCCCACATGATCACTCTTGCGGAAAGCAATGAACCATACTGTCAGTCGAATTCCCAACCTGAAACTGAATTAAGACATATTTCTACCCTATACAGTCCTTTTAATTATCACTGATTACTTGCTTCTGAATATGACACAGCAAGATTCGGTATCCAACTTTGCGGATTTTATTATCGTAAGTTTTGGTGAACTTTTATTTTGTTTCCTAGAACTGGAAAACGATGTGAGGTCACAAACGAAGTAAGTGCTCCCGATGACAGACCAGTTATGGATGAAAAGACAGAAGCTCAAGTTGCTCGTCTTATTGAAGAACGTGATGGTCTTCTGAATACTGGAGTATATGAAAGCAGTGATTCCTTGATCCTAGACCTTGACCGACAAATCAGATATCTCTTAGAAAGAATATAACCTACTTTTCCTTGCATCACCTTTATAATAAGCAAAAGACTACTTTTGTTGGGATAAACTCAGAAGAATTATCAAAAATGTATCTCTGCACAAAGCTATACTAAGCATTCTTTGGGTAGTGCGAAGTTTTTATGGTCGGATGAATTGAAAATCATACAAGAGCCCAGGTACTGGAACTGGGAAGAACCGTTGGAAGAATTATAATCAGACAGTTTGTTTCTAAAGACTAGTAGGAATCACCACTAGGCGTGTGGGTTATAAATATAGCTGTCGTACTAGTCTCCATCATTTCAGCGTATAAGAATGATTTTCATGTGAGAACCGCAGAGAAATAAGCTAAATTTCCACGATCATAGACTCCATGCTAAATTTGCGTTCAAGAGTTGCAGGCTCAAAAAAAACCTTCAACCCCAATAGTAGGTCTTTTATCCAAGTTTCTCTAACCTCTAAACTTTGGAAAACTCTTGATTGTTGGTACCCACTACTTTTCATTGATTTTTCTACCGACATATGTTTGTAAGGTGTAGATAGTGTATGACAAAGGGGTGTCTAGAGCAAGTTTATTAAACGTATAGCTTTCTGCTTAGACTTGTACAGGATTGAAGGAGTGTGATATGAGGATGTCAAAGAAATTCAGTCTTATTGCTGTTCAATTTTTTGCTTATGGGGCTATGTCACTAACTGGAAACGCTATGCTGTTGTAATGCGAACGCCGTGGTTCCCTGTACCAAGCATGAAAATTCATAATAAAGACAGAAGACGATAAGAATTTATTGGCGACTAAGGCAATCATCATAAATAACAATCGATCTTAAACGCATGATTTTAACATCGTTTGTCATGGCATGCGTGAAATAGTCATACGGATTATTATCGGGAGAGATAAAAAAGCAGTTGAATGGATCTAACTTTGGACAAACGTAAAGAAGCGAAATAATGAAAATGTAAAACAGCACTACTAACCATGTAGGCCTTTGTGAAATAATGATACTTCCCGAAACATGACTCAACTTACCTCCAACTTCTCAAAAGCTGACCATATGTCACTTTCTAGCTGATCCAGAGTATTCAGACCATGTAACTTTATTAAACCAGGAAATTTGTCTTAACACTATCATATTCGAAAATAAGGATACCAGTACGAGTTCTACGCTTATCAACTTTAAGATTGTAGTGAAGTATTGATCTAAACCAACACCGTTTCAGCAAAGTCAACCAATATCAACATATAACCTCACAATACTGCGCAACAATCCAAAGCGCTGTTAAAAGAAAACAAGTAAGAAGAAAGCAGTATTGAAATTCCGTATGATGCTTAAGATGATACGTAGGTGTGTTTGCGCCAATGAGACGGACTCCCGGCTATATAACTTAAAGCTTCCAATCGCCAATTTCGGAAGTCACGTAGACTCCAACCGTGAAATATAAATTTCCTTACACAACTTAGATCAACAGTCTGAGACTTAATGGACCGACGTTAGGTTTCAGTATGACTGCCTCCAACCGTTTTGCAGAATGAACGTATTTCAGCTAACACTTAGCGACCGAACGGAAGTAGGATAGACAAGTACAACAAATGTTCCGGCCGTGATTCGATGAAGGCTCACAACCTTCCCAAATGAGTTACCTCTACTACCTAAAACGTGATCCCTGACCCTTGCACTATCTAATGTTTAAATTATTGCATGCAACATACATTTTTTTTAACTTTAAGGTGTTTTATTATTCCTAGTTGCTGACGAAATTGCAGCACAAAAAATACTGTTCGGTGAAAATCTTTCATAACAATACAAGTAAAATTATAGTTCTTTTACTAAATGTGCTCAGTAGCCATCCAGTAAATATTGTTTCACTCCATGATACATATAATAAAAGAACTGCAATGTAATCAAACAATACTAGTGCCCAAATGCAACTTTTACGTTATACAACTACTAAATGTGACTACAACTCACAGACAGGAAAACTAAATAATGCACAGCAGTTTTCATAAGGCGATGAAAGAATACGAAGTCGTTTTTACCGTAAGGAAGGTTGCCCACTACAGGTGCACCGACAAATATGTTTAAGAAGTATTTGTTTGTCACTGAAACTGCATCACTTTAAATTCAGTTAAGGTTAACACTGAAAGTGGTTGCTTATTTTTGCGTAAATTGACAAATCTCAACACTATTAATTAATCTTCTGAGAAGTTGACAAAGTACTAATTTTTAGAATCATTCACTATAGACTTTTATAAAACGAGAGACAAAGTGTGTCAGAAATAACATAGAAATCCAAACAGTGTAGCATATTATAACCAAAACTGTACATCATTTGTGGACTAATTCGAATAGTGTATAAACACTATAAACGCGGAGAGTAGCTGCTTAAAGGCAAAAAAGTCTACTTTCAGTGCACTGCTCCTCACCAAACAGTCTTGACTACATTAAGAAATTGTAAACGGGAATTACCATGCGAAGAGAAAACTTCTCATACTGCTTAAATGACCTTAAGAGTCCCTGATTCTTTTCGATATTGCCACTGTTTGCACATAATTTGATCACCTGCAGTGGACTTAAACCTTGTTATTTGATAAGTTGGGTCATTGTCAATAAGCCTATTGAAACATAAGAAAAATCTAGGTCAGCGTTCTGATCAGCAGGGCATTCAGTCAGAATACACGTGCAGATGGTGAGAAAAAGATTTTATATCCTGTCTGGGGAGGATTTCTAATAGTCTACTCTTTAAGGCTCGTGCTGATGCTTTCGAGATTGATTGTGAAGGCCTGATGACCAGTCAGTCTGGTCCGTGGGACTAACACCATGAAAGCATCCGTGCTGAAGATATTCATTGCTTAGCAACTAGAAGTCATTCACAAACAAAAGACTTGTAACAAAATTTGTAGATCGGAATAGCTAGTTAATGACCTTTATCAGTTCTGAGGTTGTCGATACTTCGGACAATCATTCATCAGACAGAATCAACGTAGAACCTCGATCCAAGTTGCCACACTTCAGGGTAGTATATAATGAAAAGGTGGGAATCAAAGTCATTTGAGACAGTAAGTAATCTGAAGATAACTGATAATGCAGGTATTCAGGCTTTAAAATACATCAAAGAGTGATCAAATATGCGCCATTGTGACTGATTTTTGGCCATGCCAACAAGACCTAAGCAACTGATTTCGCTCGTCTACATCTGCCCACACGACTCAAACCAACAGAAAACGACTTCACCGAATGGCGCCACGTCTTCGTTCGGCCGACCTGAACCCTCTTTCAACTTAATCTAGGTTCCTTTTGTCCATCAAACTTCGCCTAACCTCCATATTGCTCACACGGTAACTCCACCAAACGTGAGCAATGCTACGATGACACCTATGATCAAAACCCTGTAACCGCTTCATGTCTTCTACGTTGGATGGTCATGTATCAGGCGTATACTCGTCCCTTGATAGTAGCCGGATATCTCACCACTCGGCGCTACTGATGACGGAAGTTGGCAAATGCCAAACAGGACTTTTGTGTCTCAGCTGAGATTTCATCGGCAACCAGCCCGACGGAGTTAATGGAACTCTCCAAGTAAGTGAATAATCGATACATTCTACCACTTCACTCCCGATGACAGTTATTGCGGACAAATCCTAGAGCATCAACTTACAGTTGACAAATGAGAAACGCTAGCCAAACAAACTCGGATTTCTGCTCAAAACGTCCGCAAGACCCTGCATTGCATCAGCGTCTTTGCCAAACAAAACAACATCATCTGCGTACTCTAAATCAACCAGATCGCCTCCAGGGAGTAGATCAATCCATGTGAAGTCACACATATCCAAGGTTATGTCCACCAGTACATCTATGACGAATTACATAGGAACGGAGACACTGGACATCCACGGCGGACAACACTAGTTGTCGTAAACTCACAAGACAATTCTATGAGCGCGAACACGGCTGCATGAGTTCGAGTAGAGAGCTTTGATGAGCACTGTATAATTTCTCCGTACTACCTTCACAGTCAGACACTGCCACAACTCACGATCGACAGAGTCAAATAAAGCCTGCCCTCAAGTCAACAAACATGGCAAGTGTCGGCCGGTAGGCATGCCTGTGTTCTAGAACCTGTCAGGGGGTGAAAATATGATCAGCGCATCCTCGTTTAGGTCCGGCTGAAATCTGTCTGGTTTTCTCCAGTTTGCTGTCCTCGAACTCCATTTAGGCGTCGTATAACTATGGACCACATGGTTGTCATAAGGAGATTCCTATCACTTCTTATAAACTGGGGTGGTCAGTGAAGTACACCAGAATGACGACACTACCTCTGATTCCCATACCCTCACTGCCTAGCGCCTCAATCACTCTAATTACCAATTTCTTACATCCATCCTTATAAACGTCGGGTGGCAAACTGTCGGGTTTAGGTGCCTTGCATCTTTTCAGGTTCGATGCACCTTTCTCAAATTGAAGGACTGAGATCTGCGTCTCATTGTGGTTCAGGCTGGATGCTGGGCAACTGAACCAATGTTTCGGGTTAGTTGAACTGTGCTTCAAAGTTTTCTCGCCGCCTATCCTGGGAGGTCATCAGCGTTTCTTCCTTTTCGGTGGTGGTTTCACTCACCATCGGCTTTTACCTGCCGGTATCTTTAATAACCCAAAATAGTTTCCCGGGTTTTACCTTACGCTGATACCTTCTTCATCTCTGTCGCCAGCCACTAACGCTAGCATTCGATGCAAAGATTATTGGTCAATTAACGTTGAAGTCGCTTCTCTTGTGGTCAGAGCCAGCCGTAATTAGTTTTCGCCTACAATCATTTCGGATGACGTTGAGGAAATCCAGTGACGCTAACCCTGAACCTACCAGGATACCAGTTACTCATTACTCAGCTTTAATAGCTCAAATTTTGATTCAGAAGTCTACATAATGAGTATTTTTAACGCATGAGCGTAATCTCCACCTATTTCATAGCCATAAGAGATTCTTAACACCGTGAAAATGAAAAATAAATGTCATAATGAAAGAGTTGAGGAACTTTGTCGTACTGGGGAATGCTTACTTACGTTATCCATCTGTACACGTGGGAGTGAATATGTCTATGAGGACTGGATCAGATGATGTTGCGCTTCGTTATGGCTTCAAATCTATCTGCAAATTGACTCCATGCAACCTCCCCGACAGACAGCTTGACGTGGAGGTCAGACTTACATACTACGCTGACCCAACCACTGCTCTGTTGGGGTACGTCTCCTTGAGGTTCTACAATACCAGAAACGTCTATTGGATAGCGATAAGACAAAAAGCAATCACCGTCATAATGTAAATTAATACGCCTCGACGAAGGGTTAGAGGGAGAAGTCAAGCTTCTTGTTACATGTAAGTTTGACGGCATCAGGTTGGTGGTCGGACTTGCATATCCCAATGACCCAATGAGCTATGCTGGTGGGACACTTGTCCCCTCAAGGTACTACCATACCAGAAAGATCTGTTGGATAGTGGTTGGACGAAAAGCAGTTACCGTTGTGGTGTAAATTGCTACACTATGATGGAGGTCTGAGGGCGAAGTCGTACTGCTGCTAGCTGAATGGGGTGTGACAGCAGTAAGGTGTTCCCCTTGGAAGACCAGTAGTGCAATGCTGTCTTCTCAGTGGAAGGGGAGATTAGAAAAGGTCGGCCCCCAAAATAACACTCCACACATCCCACGTCTACCGGGTCGGCGGTGTTGGTTCACTTGTCGTTTCTTTCCGACCATCCGGCCCCAAAAATACAAAAGTTCAAAATAATCATACTCGAAAGGCTACGTGCGACAGGCCTCAAACAGATGTCCGATGGGCTCTGCAGTCACACAAACTTCTTTCAGGTACCTTAAGAAGAAATAACCTTCCACGGTGTGGGCAGCCAGGAAGTGTCAACCGCCCTCACAACTCTGTCAGCACTCAAATTTCCTCAGACTGCTATCCACCTCCGCCATTATTACCTTCTAATCTTCCATCACATCTCCTAATTAACGATACTACATCTTCAATTTCTCCCAGCTCTGCAGCCTTCGCCAACGATCTGAGTCCACAGAACAGCATCCTTGGTCTCCTTAAACCACGCTCCAAATTACATATCGGAGTCTTCAATGTCCGCACCCTCCGTCAAATTGATCAACAGGCTTCGTCGGCAAAGACTCTAGCAACTTGGGCCATGGATGTGTGCTGTGTTTGTGAGACACGCATACAGGACCCAAGTGGGGTTATTCACTTAACATCTCCCGGCCAATCTGGTGAATCCACAAAAGTAACCCTCCGAGTTTCTGGAGATTCGTTAGCTAGCTCTCGCGGTCTTGCAGGTGTAGGCATAGCACTAAGCACTAGGGCAGAAAACTCACTACTAGACTGGATCCCAGTTGATAGTCGCCTCTACACTATGCGGCTGGACGACACAGTGAGAACTAAAAGGAATAGTGAGACCCGCCGTTGTCTCTTTGCGATCTATGCTTACGCACCCACTGACTGTAATTCAAATGAAGTGAAGGACGTGTTCTACCGTAAAATGTCTAGCCTACTCTCGAAAGACAAATGTTCGGACGTGGTGGTTCTGGCATGTGATTTTAATGCACAGGTGGGGAGGCAGAAAGGCACTTAGGTAGCACTTTCAGAGTCCCAGCTGAACGAACAGATAACGGTGATCGCCTACTACAATTGTGCTCAGATAACCACCCAGTTTTAGCTAGCACAAATTTCAGACATAAAGAAAGACACTGTCTGACGTGGCGTCCACCGAGCTCAACTCAGCAGTGGACACAGATAGACCACACCGCTGTTGGTCATCGCTGGAGAGGGTCGGCGGAAGGCTGCGGCCCCTCCTAAAGTACATGCTTGGATAGCGACCACGCGTTGGTCCGAGCACGTATATGCCTGCGTCTCAATGGACGTAGGAAAAATTTGGCAACAAAACCACTACGAGTGCTGCTGGACAACAAAAACACCAAAGCCGTGTTCAGTGAGAAGTTGGCTAGACAGTTATCAGAACAGAATTTCACTCATCCAGAAGAAGCTTGGTGCCATCTTCAGTCTGCTGTAAAAGCAGAGCTGAAGACTATAGTCAACTCCGGAAGAGTGGCTAAAAAGAACCAGTGGATATCAGCAGTTTCTTCCGAACTAATGGATGCACGTGAACGCATCCCTGCAGGCCCCGAGTACAATGAAGAGCGGACACAGCTTAAAAGTAGATTGAGAAAAAGTCTACGCAACGGCCGCGAACAGTGGTGGGCAGCGAAGGCTAAAGATATGGAAAAGGCAGCGACGATTGGTAACAGTAGACAGTTATTTAGGAAAAGGTCAACAATAGTTAGTCAGGCTATACCAAAGAAGGACTAATGTCAGGTTCACTTGCAGAAAAAATGACTGGACCGATGGGCGGAATACTTCGAGGAATAGTTTAACTGGCCACCAGCCACCATTGCACTGCCCGCAATCCAGTCGGATCCTGAGTGGGACATAGAGACAGGCCCCCCAACACGGATACAAAAGGCTCGATTGACTTTCACCACCTGTGGCCCCGCCGTGATATCTGATTGTCTATTAAGGGTCGCGTATACTGCACAACAGTCCGGTCTGTCCTACTGTATGGCTGTGAAACATGACCATTGAAGGTGGAAGACATGAGAAGGCTTCATGTGTTTGGCCACCGTTGCCTTCGTAGTATAGGTCGCCGTATTCTAAAGTGTCACCACGTGAGTAACGCAGAAGTCAGGTGTAGAGTTTTAGGGAGAAGAGGTAAGTCAGTTGATGTTATTGTAAACCTTCATCGACTGAGATAGTTGGGATACGTGTTACGTATGCCTAGTCACCGATTGGCTCGTCACACAATGTTGGCTGAAGTAGGTCCAGGCTGGAAAAGAGTCGAGGTGGCCAGACTAAAACATGACACCAATGTATGAAGTCTCTGAATGTTGGTTCCAGCCATGTAGGACGATGCAGAATGGGTAGTTGGGGTCCGCATGACAAGAGAAACCAGTGATTGGAGACTCTAGGTGATCACATCGCTGAAGACCGATGTCAGTGGTGCAGATGCATACACACACTATCCTCATCTCAACGAAGCTATACCGAATCTCACCATTTTGTCATTCTTCATTTCTCTCTTTTCGTACTTTATATTTCTTTTGATTGAATTTTCTTATCTTCATCTTGCGCCTCACTGCCTTTTTACTTGATGTACTGATATGAGGTGTGGCAACTCGGACCGTTACGCAGTAATGTCTGGTCCTAGTTTGATACTGATGATGAACAATGGAGGCTACTTCATGCACTGAGGACTATTGATATCGGTTGCATAGGTTTTACAGCCGAATAGAAATTAATCGAAGGTAAACCTAAAACTGAAGAAGGCGGTGTATGATTAACGTCAAGCATATGTCCCGTAGGTTCTGAGTTCGTGCATGACTACTATTGATCCAGTTTCTTGTCGAGGTACCTGAAAAAGAAACCTCCCATGGTGTGGGCAGAGGGTAAGTGCCGGCCACCCTCGCAACTCTGTCAAAACTCGTTCCCTCATAACATTATCAAACCTCTACACTCCTAATTTCTAATCTTCCTTCAATCAGTATTTCTACATCATCATTAATTTCTCCCAGCTCTTGATAACGATTATAATCCATAGCACCTATCCACTGAAACTGCACTTCAGACTACATGTTGGAGCTTTCAGTATTTGCAATCTCTATCAAATCAGCTAAGTCTCGCTAGCTAAAACTCTGACATCCGAAGCTATGGGTCTGTTCTATGTTTGTGAGACATCCATACAGGACTCAAGTGCAATTAATCGCCTAAACTCACTTGGTCAATGTAATTCCTTTCATTTCTTGGAGATTCGGTAGCTAGTTTTCGGAATCTTGCAGATGTAGGCATGGTACTAAGTTCCAAAAGAGAAAGTCCACTCCTTGACTGAATTTCAGAAGACAGTTGCCGAAGCAGTGTTTGATTCAGTGGCGGGATAAGGACTGAAAATAGTGAAACTAGTCGTGTACTCCTCGTAATCTATGCCTACAAACCCACTGACTACATCTGGGATGAAGTGATTATTCCTATCGAGAAGTATCCAGCCTCTTGGTATAGTAGGTGATTTTAATGGAAAAGTGGGTAGGCAGTCAGACAGAAAGGCACTTAGGTACCATCTGTTTCTGGCCAGACGAAACTTTAGATACCCAGAGATAATATTTAGCGCCGAATCTACCGACTTCAACTCTGCCGTGAGCATAGATAAACCCTCCCTTTTTCTCCTCACTTTTGATGATTTTACTACTTTCTTCGTAGCTCCAATTTTAGCTTGGTATATTCCGGCGTTATTTGCAGATATGACAAGCTGCCAATTAGGCCTTCACGAAATAATGTCAGATACCATTTTGACTGACTGATCATGTGACATCAGTTTGCAAGATCATGGCAGGGCGTGCCATTTATTTTATCACTGTTTGTTTGCGTAGCATGTACTTGAGCGAAATTCATCATGTTTCCGAATCCGGTAGATCAAATTAAATTACTGCCGTCAGTTGTATGAACAGTGAGAATGCTTCTTCGCGAATCAATATTGAGACTAACAAGGCGTTTCAGTTAAAACAAGAGAGTTGTTCACTACCGGATAGATTATTTGACTTCATAGACATGATTTTAACTTACATTAGGCTTCGTGTCGTTTTTAGACTCAGTGATTGCTTACACTTTATCTGCTCATATACCTTGGGGTGAAATCAATAACTGAGAAACTGGACTCTAATAGATCAAGACGACAAAAATTTTGCACTAACAGTTAAGGACCTAACAAGTGCTCACCACAGAAGTACCCATTCGTGTGCAATAAAAGCAATCGGACCGTATCTGTAAAATACTATTCGTACAAAGAACTTTACCAACTTGTACAAGTGATATTTAAAATACACATTACATTCAGAAAGTCACTATTCACCTTCTTTAGCTTAACAATTAACAACAGTTAGATTTGTGGAGATAACGACACTATCAAGGTAGCTGCACTCAGAAATAGTACTAAGCAAAATATTGTATTATTTAATTTCCATCAAATCAAGCAACGGACATCAACTACTGTGTGATTTCATATTAATCATACAAGAGTGCTCTCTAGGAAAAGTCATCATATGAAAACAGAACTACCTCGTAAGATGCAACTTCATCATCTGTCATCTTTTTCCTTCGAAATTTCGAACTTATGGCAGATGGCTCGACAGCGGCCTCACGTGGTACCGATGATTTCACGACAAAAGTAGATGAAGTAGCCTGAACTTGAGAATTACTTGAGCTTTCTGAACTTGTTAAGCGCATGTTAAACCAAATTAAGTTACATGCTTATTAAACTTTTCAGCTGACTGCGAAACTTTATTAAAGGTATATGCTTTTTGACCTGAAAATAAGCCCTTTAGATGCATTGCACTTACCACCAAGGCAACATCTGATACTAAACCTGACATTATTAGCACTTTTTCAAAAACAGCATAGTATTGAAGGTGTTTGCTGTTTGTACTGGAAAAACAACTAAAACTATTGAACATGTACATAGTGAAACAATTGCAACATTTTTGACTGGAACTAACTGTAGTTTAAATCGCAACTGAAAATCCTTGGAGCGTGCATCCCTATCGACATGTCTTTTATTTTTCATGGTGTTCGGCGAAGAACTTTTAGATAACTGGTAATTTCCAAGTTCTATTTAAAAAGTGGACTTTTGGTAACCTGCCTATACATCAAACTTCATACTTCGTATTCCGGAAATGGTGAGCGATGGCTCATTAGGTTCTACGTCTCTTTTATGGGAGTATGTTCCGGGTTTGGAATGGTCACAATTGTCTTCCTGATTCGGAAAAACCTTAAAGGATCTAGATAGTTGATTAATAATTAACCTAGTCTGAAGGTTATATTAATGCACCTGATCTACAGGTGACGGAAAGCCTTTGGAATGCAGCCCATAGGTACCATAAAACTCAAGATGTGTTTCCATCCTTTTTACAGTATAAGGGGATGGGGCTGTAACAACTGCTGGAGGGAGGGAGATCCACAGTTTACAAACTCTAACTGCAAACGAGTCAACACGGATTTTTGTACGTGTTCTCTCACGCTCTATTCTTAAACGGTGACACCTCAGGTGGCGTTTCCAATCAAAGCTTAAAAGGAATCTGTTATGATAAGAAGGATTATGGGCGATAAGGTACATCATGATCATATCCCTTCTGATCCTCCTGTATTGTGCTGGATGCAGCTTAAGGGCAACTATATTCTGGGTAAGGTTTGTGCCATAACCCGACCACTTTCTTCGTAGCTCTTCTACGCATCCATTCTAGCTTGGGTGTGTCCATCTTCAGGTATGGAGATATCATGAGCGAATTTTCCCCTAGGTGAGGGTGAATGCATAGAGGAATACACTGTGACGTTAAGAGAAGGAGTTAAACCCCCCAAAGTTCACGAAAGCAGTCTAAAGACTTCATAGGTCCAATTAGCTGCAAGGCTACAGTGGACTGAAGTTCCTAGCTTGTCGTTTGATGTAACTCCCAGCCCTTGTTCCATGTTGGAGTGACAGATATTTATTCCACCCAGAAGGTAAGAACTGCCACTGCTTTTACACTTATCACCTATCATAATACTGCACTTCTTCGAGTTGAGAGGGAGCGGATCCTCTGTGATCCAGTTAAAGACTCCCGTTAGGTCCCCCTGCAGAACCAAAGTATCCGTTGGCACCTGTATTTTCCCCCGAAACATTTAGGTTATCGGCAAGCGATAGCGAATGAGAATCGAGGGATCCTGGTGGGTAATTTTCCGTGTGCACCCATAAGCTGAAGTTTCTTACGAAGGACATCGTAATTCACCTTGCCAAAGACCTTGGAAGGGTCAGTTAAACCAGTGTGAATGGGCTTTTTCCGCTCAAGAGAGAGTTCAGCTATCCCAAGTCATCAACCAGTCGGCGCTACATGACCTTTAATGTAAAAAACCATGTTGAAAGCCGTTTAAGATTGAATTCTTAGGTAAGTGATCACGAAATGAGTCATTTATGACACTCCATGACCTTCGCATTTGAAGAAATCAGGGGCGTTGGTCTGAAGTTAGAGGCAAGTAGTTTGTTTCCACTTTCACATCCCGGGACGACAGCCACCCGTTTCCAGTCAGAGGGCAACCTGCCCTTCAGAAACGAGCATCAAAGTGGTTTGCTAGTGGGGCACTCAAAACTTCAGCGCACCCCTTGAGTACTCGTTGGTGAGTCACATCAATTCCTGCAGCCTCATTCGGATTCAAATTCTTTGATATTCCCATAATTATAGAAGTTCAAAACTCCATATGGTTCGGCCTCACTCCAGTACGAGTGTCCGACAGATGCGTGGCTGTCTGTCCCGACTGACGGAAGTTGCTCTGGAATTCATGGGCTAGTAAGTCTACCACCTCGGAGTTAGTGTGGAGATTGTCCGAGCTACTAAGGTCCTGAATACTAGGTGAACTGCTACTTCTCTGTTTCATCAGCTAGCACAGGACCCAGTGATCCCAGACCAGGCTGCTACACCTTAGTGTCTGATAGTTCATTCTGCCATTTCTACTTCTTATCGTACATCGTTTACGGGTGCCTTCTGTAACTAAGCTGGTTCTTCCTGGAATCAGGGGAGTTTTATTGTTTATCACCTGAAGGATTAAGTCCTTTAATAGATCCGGTCTGGCATCCAGATCCAGTAGGTCACCTCAATTTAGGCAAGGGAAACCTAGATCTTACCGGACCTTTCAGAATCAGTTCTTCTATAATTCACGACTAATGGTCTACCAGGAGCAGGTGTTTTGGATATAGAAATGTCGAAGGAAACAACTACGTTGTCAGCCAGTTTGAGAAGTCTCAGAGCATTTCGGTCGGTTACCCCTCTGAACTGATTTGTGAAAATATAATGTAGTCGAGATGCCATACTGTCAAACTCCCAGCAAGTACACCAGGAGACAAGTTCAGTCAAAGAGTTTTCCATTAATAAATCCTGGAAATCTCTTGAAGCAGCAGAAGGACTTTCAGCTGTACAGAGTTGAGGGAAGCTAAAATCACTCACAATAAGGACACGTGAAGAATTCAGTTTTAGAGCTCCTCTAAAGGATTATATCAACATCTTGTTTAACATGGTAACGGCTTCAGGAAGGTAGTGTAGGACTCCCACCAAACATGGATTTCCACGGCATGTAATGCTACGCTACAGAACATCTTCAGCACTGATTTATTATTATTATTATTATTAGTCCCTTGGGTTCCTAGTGGAACATAGGGCTTCAGTAGCACGCCTCCAGTGACCTCTGTTCTCTGAGATCTTTTGAACCTGGTTCCACGACAGCCCAGAAGCTCTCATTTCCTCCTCGCATGACCTCCTCCATGTCACCCTCGGACGTCCAACTCGTCGCTTCCCATGGGGATTCCACTCGAGGGCCTGACGCGTGATGTCCTCAGTCGGCCTTCTCAGTGCATGGCCAATCCATCTCCACTTCCTCCTGCATATTTGTTGCGTGATAGCTTCTTGGTTGGTTCGTTCCCAGAGTTCCTTGTTGCTTATTTTTTCTGGCCATCTGATCTTCAGCAGCGAGCGTAAGCAGTTGTTGATGAATGTCTGTAGTTTATTGGAAATGCCTTTCGTGACGCGCCAAGTCTCTGAGCCATACAAGAGCACTGACTTGACGTTGGTGTTGAAAATCCGTATCTTGTTCCGGATGCTGAGTGCAGAAGATCTCCACACTGGTTTCAGGCTAATGAACGCCTGTCTTGCTTTTCCGATTCTGACTTTGACGTCCTCGTCCGTCCCGCCAGTAGTTGAAACAATGCTTCCTAGATAAGTGAAGGAGGTTACTTCCTTCAAGTTTCTCCCGTTGACGGTGATTGGAGTTTGTTGTTGTTGTTGTTGTTGATGGTGGTGGTGCGGTATCTTCATCACTTCTGTCTTCTCTATATTCACCTGAAGTCCCGTCTTGGCTGCCTCTTCTGTCAACTTGTTAGTTTTTGCCTGCAGATCTTCAAGTTTATGTGACATTATGGCTAAAACTCATGGGCTTTCGGGGAAGGGCAGGGGTAGAAAGCAGCACCACCTTCTCGACCCTCCGATCTATTATTCTGAAGAAGGCTGAGCTGACCCAAACAAAATTCTTCATCTTTTATGTTCTCTGTCAGCCACGTCTCTCAGAAAGCCATTATTATAGGGCTATCCCCATCAGCTAGTGACCTTAACTCTAGCACGTTGGAGCGCAGGCCACGCACATCGCTTCAGGTACAGCGAATGAATGTGGAGGCCGGAAGTCCTAGAAGCAGTATCAGCGTCTGAACATCTGGAAATCCCGTGCATGAGGACTGAACGGCACGGGTTCTTGAAAATGAATTCTCCTACTATTACGAAGAATTTCCCTCATTGACCGGGGTCTGTCGGGTCTAATCCTAACCCCCAACAGTTTTCGCTTCACTAAATGGTGACCTTTCAGAAAAATGTTTTTGGACTGACGAGTATCATCGAGAAATACTCTCGAAGGTCCAGCAGGACCTTTAGGGTGAACTTAACACGCACTGGGTGCTGAAGAGATGGACTGCAGTGCAAGGTCCCCAAAAGTTTACAAACATTCTTCCACTGGTCAAGATCAGTCAATCGGGATGAGCCTCTTTCCCTAAGGCCAAAGAGTATAGCTGATCCAATGTTAAGGCTTTAGTCTAACTTTTGCAACTTAGTCCTCTCTATGAACGCAGACTCAAATGTCTAATTGGTCTTTTGGGATTGGGTCGCATGGCCTGGGTTGCCAGCCGTGGGACTGAGGCTGATGATGGAGTGCGGACTGCTTCCACCATGCTTTACGGGTAGTGAGGCAGAGATCTGCTCTTTTCAGATCGTTTCCAACTTGAGTAAGAAGGGAAGCGATCAACTTAGGCTTCTTGCTAGGCTGAGGAGTCGTTATTTTGGCAGGCTGGCGATTGTTTCCTCAGGTATCACTTTTAACTGATCTGACCAGCCTGCATTTCTTCAAACCTTCTTTTCGGCGCTTATTAGATGTGAGATTCAAATTCATCACCGAGAAGATCTGCACCAAAGGCACGCTAACGGGAAGGCAGTTCACGACCTTGATGATTCCCTTCCTACCCCCATTCACGCATGAAATATTAGCATCGGTTATTGTGATGACAGCCTATAAATGTGCGACTTTACTTACTACTTACTTTAAGGGCCTTTTTCGGGCCATGCGACTCCCTTTGACCGAAGACAGTCTGCGTAACGATCTCAAGTGTAAGGTGATCAAAGTTCTACATCACTAGCTTTCGGTCAATTTGGTACTTAATTTCGGACATGCAATATGGACAAAATTACCAACCCCCATCAAAAGGGCTATTAAGCAGCGCTTCATAGTAGACAGATGGCTGGCTAGGTTCCCGGGAGCAGTGAGTTTATTAGGAGTGAAGCTCACAACCTATCGCTTGAGCCAAGCAGCTGAAACTCCCACGACAAACGATGCAGGTATCCCTTAGACTGAATGAACGATAGATAAATGTTTATTC